AGCCACTTTGGCCAGGGGGTATGTTAGAGGTGTCCACAGTGATAGGTGAACGGGCCAGGCATGCCTCTACCAAGAGACTTGTTTTTTCATCACAGTCTGCATATGCCCAGCTATAGTCATTTTACTACACCTGAACTCACTGCTCCAATTCTGTGTCCTCGGTGTGAGCTCTCCCTTTTCCAAGGCCAGGAGAGCAGGACTCTTTGTTCTAGTAAACCAACATAAGTTTAAAGAGAGGAGTGTCCTCTTGCTAGGTACTTGTGCAGTGCCACATCCTGTCACATAGGGTTTTTGGTTTGTCCTGCTCCATGTGTTCTGTGGCTGCTTCAGCACCGGCTGCCCTCTGGAGATGTTTGCTGGCAGGGGCCAGTTCTAGGTCCCTTTTCCTCTGTGACCTTGTCATGTGAAGAATACTCTAGCAGATGTGAAGAAGAAGATGGGAAAGCACGGTTTTCAGCTGAGAAGCAGGCCTTTAGATAGTAAAGCTGAACCAGATGGCTGCCTTTGCCTTCACTTTGGGAAACCATGGTGAAAGTATCACTGTCACTTCCTAACTCCTCTGATCTCCTGTGAAAATTAGGCACCAAGTTTCTACTTGTGCTTCTGAAAGTGTCCACTGTCAGGAAGCCCTGAACTAGCCTGTGGCAAGGGTTAAAAGAACATGTCACTTTTTTTTTTTTTTTTTTCCTAATCAGGAAAGTGCAAGTAAATCCTTGTTTTGGGGGATTTCACACCAGTTCTCAATGAAAGTTGATTAGCATCACTGTAGCACTGTGATGGTTCTTCAGCTGGTAACAATATGGGGTCTCCTGATGAAGCCAAACTTGCTTAATGACAACAGTCATGAAAAAAAGCTGCTGATGGATTTCACAGCTGTACTTAGTTTTAGCAACCACATACAGGAGCATTTAGTAATTCTTAAACGAAAGGACATATGAATGCCATGGGAAGTATAGTCCCAGAAAGTATCCATCCCCACTGAAAGCTTCACCTTGTAGCTATGAAAACACAACTTTTCTTCTTCAATGAGCAGTCCATTAAACTCTCTGAGGGTGAGGCTCTTGGCAATGGTAAATTCTTATGTCAGTGAGCTCTGCAAGATTGCTGACATAGTGTAACAACAGGGTGGCTTGATCCAGCCCATGTGTGGCAGCTGCAACACAGGAGATGCTCAGCTGAGATGACATAACTGGAGTAACCTGGGGAGGGGGCTGGAGCTGCTTCATGTCCTCTGAGATGGAGCCAAGGCTGAGAACCAACACTGTGAGGTAAGGCAGGGAGGGAGATGGGTGATTTCCTCCTGCGTCTACCATTTCTTCTGCTGTAAGTTGGTATCTGTAATGCTAACCCCTCTCATTCAAAAATCATGACTTAAACAAAATGGACTTAATTCTAACTTGATTTTTGAGCTCTGAGAACATGTCTTGAGACTTCTTTCTGTAATGGGGAGAGAGAGAGATACAGTTAACTTGGATATTCCAATAATGAAAACTGACATCTCTCACCCTCTGGAATGGAGGCTTTAAAAAAAAAAGCAAGAAATTTGCAGTGACTTCTGCTAACTTAAAGGGATCTGGCAATACCATACCCCTGTGATCTTCATTAGTTGTTACCTCTAATGCTACCCTCAGTCCTTAAGGCAAATTATGTTCTGAATTGTTAATACTTGCTAAAAAGTATATTAGAAATGGCCTGCTTTGAAAGAAATGCAAGGTGAACAGCTAGCCCTCCTCTAACCAACAGAGAAGGATTCCAGCAGATTCGTGATTGTATGACCTCTATGCTGGTCATAAATCTGAAGAGAAGTAGGGAAGCACAAATCTGTTGCAAGCTCTTTGCAGCTGCAATGGATGATAAGGTGAATTCAGCAAAGGCACATCTAATCTCAAGCCATGGGCTCATCTGATTCCTACCAACTTTAACGTAGGAAAGCCAGAAGACATCAATGTTAATAGTTCAGGTGTGAATCCAGCCAAAAACATGTGATAGCCCTGATATTCAAAACCAGTCAGGTTAGGAGTTAGGTTCCATCACCAAAAAAACAGCTCAGAAATCGTGAAGTCCCATAAAATAAATACAGAATTGTTGAATTATTAGCTGTCTTTTGAGGGCATACATTATCAAGATCTCAAGCTCTACTAAAAAAAAACCAAAACACAGAGAGATTGAAAACTGCTCAAAATATGCAACTAAACCAAAAAATTGCCCTCATTCTCCTTTCTCAGGTAACCATTTGTCTCCAGAAGTTGGAGCTTTAAATAAAGCATCAACTACTGTGGGAACCCTGATGCAATTGCAAGATTTGGATACAAAAAAAGTTTTGAACAATTTGAAGCTATGAAGATTAAACACTAGATGGAGTAGTTGGACTAGAATGAAATTGAGATTTGTAAGGCAACTGAGTAACAGAGCCACTGTAAATATTTTGAAATCAGGGGCTTAGTAGCAAGGCACAGCATATGAGAGCATGTTTCTCCAGGAGCGCCAGTTCAGGCAGTTGGACATATGCTGCTGAATTCTTGCTTTGAAAACAGTCACCAGAAGGGTTCTCCCTTCAGCTTCTCTGCTGTGAGGTCCTGAAGCCTCGGCACAAAGAGATAACAGGTCGGCTTGGCACATTGCTGAGCTGCAGGCACCCCTCAAATAAAACAGGAAAGCAGCTTCACACTCTGGGAAGCTGTTCTGCTTATCTCAGGTGTAAGAAAGGAGGTGGCTCTCTCTCCATGAGTTCCTTCCTCCTTGTTTTTTTTTCCCCCACTCTCTTAAGTTGTGGCAATACTTCGGGAGGCGTTGATGCTCCTGCTGCCTTAAGCATGCCTTGTGGCTACCCTGCAGGTGTCTCCTCATTCCCAACCCCTCCATCCCTCCCTCCGTTTTGTGGGCACCGCTGTTTGTGCGGCTGCTCACTGAGCCAGGTTGGAGAGCTGGTAAAGTGGAAATGTCACCTGGTCAGAAAAACAAAGGGTATGGTTGAGGTACCTATGTGATCTCTCAGACATCTCTGCATGGCTGCCACCCCCTCTCCATCACCCCAGGCCCGACCCATCTGAACTTCCAGCTCCGGGCTGCTCCGCCTCACCAAGCGGAGGGTACAATGTGCGTTCTGTTTGTGAAATGGGGGCTTTGGAGGCCTAAAACAAATTGTCCTCGGGGGCCAGGACAGTGGCGGCCATTCTCTCCCCTCCCCGACGGCCCCGCGAGGACAGCATCTCTCAAGAGCAGCAGTTGGCGAATGGGCTTTTGACCTTTTCAACTTATTGTATTGGTATCTAGCCAAACAATTTGAATTCATCTGTAGCGTGCGACACTCAGGAAACAGAGGAATGACATGCATGCTGCTTCCTACCAAGTAATAAACTGCCTTTTGTGGTGGAGTGAATGAGGCCTTTGCCGCCGGTGGCCAGATGCCCCTCTGCGCTGTGCAAGCGCTGAGAGCAGCAAAGAAAACCGTAAAGGGCTTGAGAAGCTCAAACTAGAGGGAGGTAAGGAAAAAAAAAAGCTTCCCTCTTTCTTCCCTGTAGGTCACAAGTAGATCCTCACGGTGTTTCTTCATGGATGAAACACTGACCCCACTGCAGCAGGGGGTGTGACAGACACCAGCGGGGCCATCATTTCACCTTGTGTAGTTTGGGGTCTTCTTAAGCCTGACAGCAGCAAAACAAAAGCTTCTCCAGGGCTGCTGAGCACTGCGTGTCAGCTTCTCTGGCTCTCCTGTGGTTGATCTTCAGGCCCAAATTTCCTCCAGGGGTTTGTCTGTTCCTCCCAGGGACAGACCTCTTTGTGCTGCCGTGTGGCTCCAGTACGAGCCTGAGAGGAAGCTCAGGTGGTAACGTCAGCACCAACTGAAACCTGTTTAAAAGGTTCTTCTGAAAAAAAAAAAGAGAATAATATTTTTGTATTCAAATCACAGTGCTCAGGAAAACATTTTAGCTCAGATAAACCGAGGTAGATTTTCCTGGATTTCTGCTTAAGTGACTGAAAAAACAGTGCTTTTAGCTACTTGCTTTACGCATTGACATGGTGGCATGTCTGAAGTCAGGTACCTACCAGTCAGTCATCAAGACTATATTGCTAATGATCCCTTTCTTTAGAGCTAGGAGGCACTGCTGCTGCTCAGTAAAGATATTTGGTGAAATGGAATTTGAATTTCCGTGCAAAAAAAAAGAATTGTTTGCTGTGAGAGTGATCAGGCTCTGGAGCAGTTGCCCAGAGAGGCTGTGCAGTCTCCATCTGTGGAGTTACTTAAAAATCGACAGAACCTGACCGAGCAGACTGTTGGACTAGACGATCTCCAGAGGCCCCGTCCAACCTCAGCAACTCTGCGATTCCCTGATTTAGTGATTCTGTGATTTAAAACACACATGTTTTTATTTGCACAAACCTGGGTTGCCTTTTTGGTGCAGATCCACGTTTCCCTTTGGATCTCTGCCCAACACCTGCTCACAGCCCTGGAAACTGTGCAAGTGGCTTTGCAGGTGATTGTACAGTGGCTCGTCAGAAGCTTATCTCACAGGGTGCACAGCTGCTTGCTTTTCCAACCTCCTTTCAAGATGCTCATTAATACAGCATTCACTTTCTCATGAGAGGGTTGTCTACAGGTGGAACCCTTACCTTCCGGGTTGATCCTAGGGAAATGTTCTTGTCCACACAGACAAGCTCCCATTATGTACTCATGGTGCTGGAGTCATCATTTACAATACAAAACCTGTTTACAACTTGCATCATGATTCTACCTTTTGCAGAGGTTTATGTAGTGCCCAGTCTTTATGTTGGTGCTCTGCACAAGAATGAATCCCGGATCATTCTCTTTCTTCCTTTTTGTTTCTGTCCCTGCTGTGAAAGCCCTCAGGTCAGTGTCCACCAAAGGCAAGTTTCTACTTTTGGATTGTTATTTGAATTGTATAGGATGGGTTGTTGACTGACACAGGAATTTTAGCTAGTCTTTATGTCATATTTCTTCCCCCAAACTCTGTGGGGACCAAAATCTCTCTTTCTTATAGGAAAAAGGTATAAACCTGACCCACATTGAGTCACGACCTTCCCGTCTCAACAAAGATGAGTATGAATTCTTCATTAACTTGGAAGGCAACAATGTCCCAGCATTGGACAAGATCATCAAGTCCTTGAGAAATGATATTGGAGCAACGGTCCATGAGCTTTCACGAACGAAGAAGAAGGACACTGGTAAGGATATGCTGACAAGAATAACATTGTCAAGGAATATTTCTGTCACATACTTAAATTTCTTTTTCCTGTAGCAAAGGAGTTCCTCTTGGATCTGTATGGCTGCATTTCCTTTCCTCTGCCTATTTCACTTATTTTGTAAGCTTTTTCATTTGGAGATTTTCTCTTGGTGTAAGCTGCCATGCTCCATCTTTTGCCATGTTTATGATTACGTCTCCTAGGAACTGGAGGCATGGTGTTATGTTGTCATTTGTCTGGTTGGTTGGCAGCACTCACAGCCTCCTAAAGACAGCTTTGTTGTGGTAGCTTGTTACACTACCTGCAGAAGTTAAGAGGCATCAAAGGATGACTGGAGTTACAGGATAAGGGCTCAATTTCTAAATCCCTAAGCAATGGTGCAGGAAGTTGTAGGTACATCTATTTTCTGCTCCCAGTCTCTTCCCTATTTTTAAAAAAGGCAGTATTTATATACACAGCTTTTGGCAAGTCATGCAGGGTGGCAACTTTTGGTCTTGACACACACCTGTAACATGAAGGAATAACAGGAGTGCAAGTGGACCCATACCACCATATATAATGCAGATAGGCTAGCTTACCAAAAGCCCAATGGCATGTCTCCTGAATCTCTGACTACTATCCCATAGCTTTTGGACCACTGACCACTGAAAGCCACTGCAGGTCTTGTACACTTTTAGCCTTTTCCTATGTTCTCTGCCCATATGATAACCTAGAAGAAGAGAGACAAGAAGGATTGCTGTGTGGGATGCACTTTGCCATCTTCCATAGCGAGTCCATTCAGAGTCAGCCCATACAGACCCAGCGCTGGCAGCTGAGTGTGTTGAGATTGTGATAGAGCATCTTAAAAATAGATGCAAAATTTTAAATCGGAAGATGAGGAGGAATGTTCTGCAAGGGGTTATGTGGTCTGTCCTCTAGCAAAAGGCAGGACCAGCTAAATCACCATCTGCCTTGAGCAGTGGAGATCTCCCGGGCTCCATGGCTCTGCACTGTGGGGCTGTCCTGCTCTGACGAGCCTCACTTGCTGCACTAAAAGCTGATGACTTCTCCCCCTCCCTGCCTTGGACACTGGGAACAGAAGATACTCTTACTCTTTAGACCAGCCTTTTCAGTCTCTGGTGACAATATCCTAGCCACCCTCATCCTTCCCTTCTCAGACGCCCAGTTTCTGGGCTCATGGCCTGTCTTTTTGCTCTTCTCTGGAGTGTCTCCAATACACTAGGTAAAACGTAGAATTAGCTATGGGCTATAAGGATTCTAATGCTCTATTAACTATTTATTTAACCAGTTACTGATCATTTGCTGTTTATTCAATGGGTCCTTCACACAAAGCCCAGCTGCTTTCCAAATTCTCCTTATTCGGGTAGGAACTGATGGTAAAGGGCAACATAACAAAGCAAAAAGTGACAGTGAAATGTTATTACAGTGCCTTTGCCCTTGCAAAATATCTCTGGGACCTCACAGATCACTCTGGAACAAACCTTGTGGTGTAGTAGAGGTGACAAGAGCCCAGTCCTGTGCAAAGCCTGGTATGGAGTGGTGGCATCCTCATGGGACAGAAGGAGGAATTATCCTCCTGCATTTCTTGGGGCTGGCATGCCCCTTTGAACACCTGGATTTACTTTCCAATTTTGGTCTTGTGGACCCTGCCTGCTGTCTGCTGCAACCCCATCCTTGTGGCACCTCTGGGTTGAGAGGAGAGAAGGAAAAGTCCCACGGGGTGACTGTCCCCCCCCTGCTGCCTGCTCTCCTTCACACAGGTACATGTGAGTACAATACCATCCATCTGCCTCTCCACTTTTTGGGCTTGTGGATGCCCCTTACTCCTGCTGCTGAAACTAGGGAAGCTCTGCCACACGCTTTGGTAGGACCAGGAATAACTCTCTATTCCTTGTAAGAAATCCCAGGGAGGTAATTTATAATTCTGCCTTTGGAGGCAAATAAGGAAAGATTTTGCAAGTTGTTTGTGTTCCGAATTCTTAGAGATTTGCTGGAGTTGAGGCTGCTCAGTACAGTGGTGGCTGCACAGCATCCAGTCTGAGACATACTTAAATGCCTCTTCGGATAACAGATGTGATTTTAATAGGATTTCAGTCTTTAAATACTTTAGGTCTGGATCTTCCTCTTCCTTCCTAGGAACAACATGAAAGGACATTAATACCTTCTTGAGATCAGTGCTGGTAATCCTTTTACCGTTTCCTTTGTGTCCTACCCATGACATTACATTTGAAGATGAAAAAGAAGAAGGCAGATACTCATTGGAGTCAGTTCTCTCCATTCATGAGAAGAAGGGACAAAAGGTTGATTAGGTGATTTATGATCACATCAAATCAAAGAGGTTCTCTTTTGGGGGCTGCTTTATTTCCAGAAGAAAGCTATAGGCCCTATCCAGGGCTTGCCATTATTTTAGTTTTTCTAATTACTATTAAGAAGTTAGTAGTAAACTTTATTAAATAATAAAGCTGCGTATAAGCATAGGCCAGAGTCGGTTAAAGATACAGCTCTAAATGTCAGCCAAGAAAGACTTGTGGGTGAAATTCTGACCTCACAGAAGTCAAAACTCCCATGGTCAGCTGTAGGATTAGGATTTCACTGCATGTTACTCTGTTGATCAAAGGTTTTTTGAGCTAGATTATCCTGTCAGTGCTGCAGAAAGGGACTTGATCCCCTTCTGTCTGAGAGGATAACTTGTGTTTGTTAGTTTCAGTAATTCAGAAATAGTATAGAGTGGGAGCAATTTACTGACAAGAAAAGAGAGGAAGATTGATATTTCTTTTTGTTCTTTCCCTTTTTCTTTTCTTCTTTTATTTATTTATTTATTTTTTACAATTTCAACTTCTCTCATGAGTAGTAAGAGTCCAGTCAAACTGAAATCCCTGAAGAGTCATATTTTGAAAGGTCAAACAAGCTCTGTTTGGGGGATGAACTGTAGGTGGCAAATTCTGGGCTGAGGCAGCTACAAGAGCAGAGTGAGATGGGAGCAGCCTGAGCTGTAGGAAGTATGGTAAGACGCTCTCCTTTATCAGTGATGGCATTAACAAATAACAGGCCTCGTGGTGCCTTTTAGGTCAGCTTGCCTTTCAAATGTATCCTCCTGGCAAATCTGGTCTTAATCCACAGATGTGCTTGTGTGACATTTTATTACTAAAACACAGAATGAGAGCAATATGCCTCCAGGGAGCAAAATCTCAGAAATATGGTTTATGAGGATATTGTCACACTCTTCTCAGTGGGCAGGTAAAGGCTGGGAAGACTTTATCCTGGAGGCAGTCTGGGCTCCTACAGGACTGATTCTTTCACTACTGCCTAAAGATTCTCTCTGCCCTTCCTTGCTAAAGATTCATTTTGCTCATGCTCATTATTTGAGAAAAAACCTCCAAACATTTTGCTCATTTTCCTGTAGGAAGCACACAGTGCCAGTCTTGGGGTACTGCTTTGTGGATAGTCAGAGCAAGTTCCTGTAATCTGCACCTTCTGTATAGTTCAGTGTTAAACATGTGTGTATGTGAGTTATTGGGCAAGGCATACATGAATGGCTATTTATTTCTTCTTTTTTTGTGTGTGTGTGTGTGTGTTTGGTCACTTTAACTGCTTTCAGGGTCTTTTCTCAATTAAATGCAAAATATAATTTTGGTTCCCCTTTGACAGACCCAAATAGTTTAAAATACAAGATTGGGATCAACAGTGTAATTTTAGCTGTGAGCCGGCCAGTGAAATGCTTTAAATCCAAAGGTAGTTTTAGAGCTTCAAATGACATGGAATAGCAGTCACTGGGCCAAAAGGCCTTTGTAGAGATGGAAAGATTTGTTGTGAAAACACAGTGCGTCTCTTCATGGCTCTTTTTGGAAACAAGCTGAGTATCTGCAGTCCTCTTGGAGCCTATGAATAAAAGGAATTAAATATTATTCTGTTGCAGAATTAAGGAAATGCAGACAATTTATTGCATTTCTGAGACAGACTGGGAGCTGAGGTTCTGTAGGGGCCTTGTTTGCTAAACCCTGAGGCTGGTCAAAGCATTTGGGACTATTTAAAAAAGGGCTAAACCTGGGCCTCGAACTGCTATAAATTGCATAGACCTGTCTTTGACCCTCCTCACAATGGTCGGAATGGAGGAGTTCTGCAGAAGTCCTTGCTGCCCCTGCTTTGCTGCCTCTCATATAAATGGCTTATTAGCATTCTGCTAAGCATTTGACCCCATGGTAATTTGGTCACCACTTGGGTGTCCAGCACGATCCCATAAATGCTGCTGTTTCACTTACAGACAAATCAATATTTATTACTGATCAGCCCACGTTTGCTCCTCAGACCTTCACAGAGGCCCAGTGTTGCAAGAGCTTGCCCTGGCAATTCATTAATGGCCATACAGACAGACAGCGAGTCTGGTGAGTGGGCTGGAGGAGGATGCTGCAAACAAAATATGGGATAGATTCAGCCAGGGGGTAATTTGATTTGATCTTTTAAATAGTTGCTGGGAGGGTTGGGGATAGCCTCCTGGCACACCACAGCTAGGCAGAAGTCCCCGTAGCCCTTTAGCACCCTGGTCCCTGGTGTGAGGGCTGTATGGACTTAGTGCAGTGCTTGTGCTGGGCCTGTGCTCAGTGCCGTTTCCATGAAAGCTGAGAAGCCTCAGGACTTTCCAGGACCCGACTTAACATCAGCTATGCTGGTGCAAATAGCACGAAGCAGCCTCAGGATTTTCCTTTCACAGCCTGTCCCTTTCATCCAGCTGTGAGTTCCGAGTTGCTCCCTCTTAGTTACCCCCAGTGTCTGGGGTGGCCTGGGAGGAGGGCAGAGATCTTCTGAAAATAGGTCACATACCTGTAGGGGCTGCCTGCCTAGAAGATACGGTGCTGCTCCTGTGTAGGGGGAAAAAAAGGCCACCCATCTCCATGCCTGGCACTGATATCATGTCAGCCCTGGGGTCAGACCATCCCAGAGTTTGTGATGTCCTCTGCACCAAGTACTTTGGGGAGAGTAAGTTACTATTATATATCCATTTTGTCCCTTCTTGAAGTTGCAAAGATTCAAACCCTGCCTATCTAGACTTCTCTGATTCGGGGCAGCAAAACCCTGCAAATATCACTGTTAAAATCCACTGCAAATTTCAGCCCCCACCAATGTGTCTACACAGCCCAGACCCTTCAGGTCACGGTGCATCCCTGAGAATAGCAGTTATTCCCTCTAACACTGACAAATGCTTTGCTGTGGGGCTGCCAGAGAGTTTTTCTCCCCCAGTGCTTAATCCAACAACATTTATCAGTGTGCCTCACCCCAATCGGATAGCGGGAAGTCTGAAGCACAAAACAGTGAAACGATTTCCTCACCATCACCCAAAGCTCAGTGGAGAGAAACCCAGTGCCTGGCTGCCCACGTAGAAAGGAGAGGCAGGACGGCTGGGTGTGCTCATCCTTCACGTGGTGTCGTAGTGACTCCTCTCTAGGACTCTCACACACATTTTTCTACTCATCCCCTCTGCCTAGTTTAACTCAAGGGGTTGGAGGTGGAGGACGGATGCTAACAGCAAAGTGGGAGAGTATTTCTGGAGAACCTGGAGAATTGGCAGCACACCCGGCAAATAGTCATTTGGGGAAGATCTTTTTGGGAATGCTGCTGCCATCTAGTGACTTGTTCAGGTTTGGTTTTTAGGGCAAAGCAGAAGGGTGTGCAGCTCGGAAAGGAAGGCACCAAAACCCCCTTGTGCCGGGCGGGAGAAGGGGAGGCAGAGCCAGGAGCACTGCTGAACCACTGGGCCCGGTCTCTGCAGCCCGGGGAGCCCAGGCAGCCGGGAACCTCTCCCCACTGGCGGTCACCGGGTGCCTGTTCTCCCTGGCCTGCCTGAAACAAATCTGAGGGCTTCAGCAGGAGTGTTGGAGGGAGCCGGGTTGGTGGTGGGACAGTAGGACAGGGGGAGTGAGCGCTCTGCATGGGGCTGAGCTGCGGCCGCCCAAAGCGTGCCCTGTAAATCTGCTGTTGTTGCTCTGGCCCCTCTGTGCAGGTGCCTCGCAGAAGCCCAGTGCCACAAGCATTGTTAGGCTCCGCAGAAAGCAAGGTTGAATAGTCCTGGAGACAGCGTGATCCTCTTATCCTGTAGGTGGTCCGTCAGATCTGGGATGAGCCCCATCAGCAAGGCACTGCAGGGAGCTCCTGCAGCAGCTGCTGGCTGCGGATCAGGTTCGCTTGGCACAAAACCCAAAATCAGATGGGGAGGTATGGCTGTGTGACAGTGCTCCCAGCTGAGCAGAGAGCCACACAGGTGAATGAGCTGTTTATCAAGCTCTGACTGAGCAAACAACAGCCATTTGTCCAAGAAAGTCACTAAATGAACTGCAGATATTTTATTGATAATCCATGGAGAGCCCCTGCACTTGGATTAGCAGATATTTGGGTGATATTAGCCTTGACGTCCTTGTTGTTGACTTGTACTCGGCGTGGGGAGCATATGTGACATGATTGCGTGGCCTGAGCATGGGGAATATCCTTAAGTTGAGGTCCTGTATCCTTTCCTTAGAAAAGGTATGGTAGAACTAGAAGTTGTGCAGAGAAAAGTGATGAGAGTGCCGAAAGATAGCCCACCATTCCTATGTCTGAAATACACAGGCAAAGTCCCAGCCAGGAAAGATGGATGGTAGATGGAGGATCTGACAGGGACCTATAAAGTCCTCGGTGGCCTGGAGAAGGTGAATAAACAAGTGATGCTTGTATACAGGAACTTCATCGAATGAAATAAGTTTAAAACAAAAGGGAGTAATTTTTCATAGCACATGTGAAAAAATGAGAGAACGCAGTGCTGCAGTTTCCTAGAGGCAAATGTGTACGTGGGCTCAGAGAGCAATTAGTTGTGTTTGTGAGAAGTCCATCACAGACTATTAAATTTAAACTCAGGCAGAAGGGAAGGGAAAAAGAAAAGAGGCAGCCAGCTAAGGTCAAAGAGTCAAAAATTTAAGAATGGGGCAGCAGAAGGAAAACCGGGGCAAACTGAATTCACCAGCACTAGCAGCTCCCAAGATGTTCCCAGCTGCCAGGGGTACGTAGTGGTGGTACCTACTGATGCACTTCCTGAAGCAATGACGAGGCAAGGGAGGAGAAAGGGCCCATGGTCCCTGCGCTCCCTCCACTGAGGTTCCCTGTCTCAGTGTTGCAGAGGGCTGAGGTGGCCGGGGTCAGTGGTGGCTTACAGGGGAAACTCTGGCTTGGTATGGAACTGGACCATCCTGGAGGAGATGGAAGAGGGGGCTGCAGCCTGTACAGGCTTCTTGCTGTTGAGGGGACAGATGGTAGGGGACTGCTTGGATCACTGGGTGAATACACTCGTGGCTCCAAGAAGGAGGTCTGACCTGGGACGACTGCTCCGTGTACCTCACAAGCTACAAAGAGCCTCTCCTTGTGTGTAGCCTTGTGTAGCCTCTCCTTGTGTGTGTAGTAGACACTTGCCTTCTGCTTTCCTCTATCATCTGAACATGTTGTATCTGGAAAGCCCTGTGATTCTTCTTTGCCCTCCACCTTATGTCCTTCTGTAAAGGGAGGCCCACATGGGCATTACATGCTGTGTAGTCAGTGTGGTCCCATTTCATACGCTGGCTGCACCCTAGGCAGTCTGTACAGTATGTGAATTACAAGGCAATAGAGAACGATGCTGAGAATGTTAATTAAATGAATGCATTATTGTATAATGGCTGCGGTTATACAATGCTAGTATGAGGTATTAGGATGACATTTATCATTTTATTTCAGTATCCCAGCTTAAGTGAGGCCACCAAGTAGGTCTTGGAGATTTTCAGAGGGTTGTGGCATTTCTTGCTGTTCCTTTGAAATGGCTGGTTCTAGCCACTGTGAAAGGAAGGATACTCTGGAAAAAATCCTACAATTTGGTAAGCTAAGAGACCAGAATAATAAACAGAAAATCATAAACATTACAAGCCTGGTCTGTGCCAAGGGCTAGACATTCCTGGTGCTCTGTATTCTTCCAACAGTGCAAAACAGCCAGAAAATCAAGAAAACTCGCAGGGTTTCATCTTGCTTCCTACTACAGGGAAAAGTCATTGCTCCCCAGAGAATTCAGTCCCTTGCATATGTTTCTTTATGTTTATAATTAAAAGATAGAAAGACCAGAAGAAGACCCCAAATGAGGTAATGAAGAAGCATAACAGTCTATATTTTTGTTCTGTTTTGCAGTGCCATGGTTTCCAAGAAGTATCCAGGAGCTGGACAGGTTTGCCAATCAGATCCTAAGCTATGGAGCAGAATTGGATGCTGATCATCCTGTAAGAAATAGAGCTTTATTTTTTTAACATGCTTCTATTTGTTGGGGCAGATGTTTCTCTCATTTACATTTGCTCTGCTTTAAGACAGATCTAGAAGTCTATATAGGCTAAGCCCTTGTTATAGGACAAGAGGGTACAACATATATAGGGGTTAGAATCAGCCCAATCCCTGGTTATGAAGTAAGTCAGACCAAAGGTTGCTTTAATTTGGGCAAATATCAGCAGACCTTAAAAGTCATATTGGTCATCAGATCACTGGGCCACCACAAGGACACCTCTAGTTTTCCCAGGTGACTCTGATGTGATGACTTCAGATTCATTTTGTGAATCACTAGCAACAAAAACTTCAGAGGCAACATATCATTGGCCAGATATAGGAAGACTGGTGTTTTCATTCTTGATTACATACACACGATTGAGTTTAGTGCCTTGTTATGTGGTTGTTAAATCTGACATGATTCTTGTATGGCAAGACACAACAAAGGAAAAGGTCCTTGTTTCAAAAAAATTGTGGTTTAAATGGTAGGGTCAGAAAGTTTTGTTCATTGGCTTAGCTGATAAAAAAAAATTATTCAGCGGTTTTTCAGCTCTTCCAGATACAAGAATACTTTCTGCCTCTATTCCCTCTCCAAGCAAACAACAACTTATTTTCATTTGTCAAAACACACTGAGTTCCATGCAGTGCAACAGAAATTGCTGCTATTAGTTTAAATGAGATAGGGTGATTATAAATAAATTACATGCAGTGCAACAAAAATTGCTGCTATTAGTTTAATTGAGATGGGGTGATTAGTCATTCACTACCTATTGCTTAATTCGAGATGTGTTATGTATCATGTACAATGATTCATGATGTTCAGTGTGGTTATATGAAAGGCAGAATGAAAGGAGATACACTGAGTCAATGGCCCCCTTGTGTGTCATGCAGGAATAGACCAAGATTGTATTTAAAAAAAAAAAGAAACAAACAAAAAAAGAAAAAAAAGATATTAAAAGGAATGAAGCATCTCTGCTCCAGTTCCTAGAATTAGTTCATGAGCTGTTTATGCCTTAAAAAGGAAACCCAGCTGCTGGGGTAAATAGGTGTGACAGTACATAGAATGCAGAAAAAGAGAAATTAAAGGAGCCTGTGTTTTTAGTAGTTGAGTGATAGGGGATTTAATTATGAATACCTCTATTCCATTTTAATATTGGACAGCACATTTTTTAGGCCATTGGCTGCCTTTTTGACACACTCTATGTCAGCTGCTTCCTGTGCTTGGTTGTGTTTTGTGGCCCCTCAGTCCAGTTGTGCTGTGCACCACTAAAAGATGCATTTGTGAGCTGTCATAATGCCCAGTGAGTTGTTACTATTTGCCCCACAGAAGTGTGTCCTGGCTTGGAAGGACGTTTCTCCACTTTAGGTGGTGAAGATCCTCCTCCTAACCCTGAGGAACTTTTAGTCTAAATAGCAGGCACACTGGGATAGGAGAATGGTTACCCCAGATGAAGATTTAGAGATTATATTTCTTATCCCTGGTTTTATTGGTAATTAGCTGCAAAGGTCAAGCTCTCAACCACAAGGTCTATTAGACATTCTCTGTAGAAATTAAATCCTTTCAAATAGCTGAATTCGTAGTGCAAATAGGGCTTTTTGGCCTGCAAAGTGCCTACTGTTCTTCTAATAGTTTGAAAATGAGCACCTTTAAGTGTGGTTCATGCTGAAAATCCACCTAAAAAGTCTGACTGAGTTGATGAGTGTGTTTCTAATGTGGTTTAAACTCTGCTCCTCTAGATAAGTGCAGCTGTGCCAGCAACTGCAGGAGGCTTCATGAGAAACCAGAAGGACATGGTTATCTGAGTGCCACTACTTCAGTGTATTGCTCTTGCAGGAGCACCTTGTTAACGTTCTTAAAGAGCGTATTTCCATCCTTTTGTAGCAAGCAGAAATGAGGAAATGAAAGGACTTTGGGGGTGAAAGGTGCTGGGAGGCTGTGGCTGAATGGCTGGTCCGGTAGCCCCACAGACTGGGAAGGAGCTGTGCCCTGTGTGAGTGGAACCAGGCAGGATGGAGGAAACTTCTCCACTCACCCTCCTGCACTTCTTGGACTGCACCAGCCATGCCAGAAGGTGCTTGGTGAGAGGAACTCTGTCCATCACCTGCACTTAAACAGGGACTGACAATCACTGCTTCTCTTTAGGGGTTCAAAGATCCTGTGTACCGGGCTCGGAGGAAGGAGTTTGCAGATATCGCCTACAACTACAGACAGTGAGTGCTTAGTGCGTGGGCAGAAAGCAAGCCCACGTCTCCCACCCACTCCTCGGGCTCTCACCCCACTGGCAATCCCTATTTTTCCACAAGCGTCCTCCTGCTATTGGCTTTTCCCTGCCATTTGTTTAAATCTTCCTCTTCATGTGTTTATCCCCAAATCGCAGTAAAACAAAAGTAAATTGTTCCAGGCACACATTCAGAAGAGAACATCGTCTGCCTTCTTTTTCCCCACAACACCCCTCTTCCCCGGCTTTGTTGTCTAATTGCGCAGCAGACTTCGTTGCCACTACAAAGACCTGAGCATTGAATAAAGCTGCTTCTGGTATTCTCCCCATTAAACCAGGGCTGGAGGAGGAGTGCCTATCATTTACATTAAAGCAGGAGCTGCATAGACTATTAAAATAATGAATAACTTATGGTTCTGATGCTAATCCAGCGCCTGATACTCTACTTTTATCATGTCTGACCCAGCTGCAATCAGCAATTTGGGCTCTCATTTCCCAAGAAAAATAAATGAATAGAGATGATAAGTTCAGTTAGAACAGGCTTGCTTGATTGCTTTCAGTGATCAGATCTGGAGGAGATAAAATTCTGTTCCCAGAGCAGCTCACACATTTACATCAGTACTACTGGGCCTGATTCTTGCTGAGACTGGTAAAAATTGTAATTGCAAAGGATAAAGTAACATATGTTGTACATTTAGGACTCCACTTTGCACATGACTGTGATGAAAAGATAGTCCCTGAGCCAAAGAGCTAATAATCTAATCACAAATGAGAGACAAAATGGGACTGATTGATGGAAAGTGAAAAAAGTCGGGTGAAAAATGTCAAGAGCCCAGTTTATAGCTGGAAAATTTGGATAAGACTTTGTGGTCAGATGTGGATGGATGTTATGCCCATTTATAGGTATCCCACAGAAGATTTACCTTTCCTGCATAATAGATACCAAATTCTGGTCTCTAGTTTGCAGGCTTTCACCAAATTCTACATAGAAATAAAAAACCCACATGTTAACCACCTCTTGCCTCCAAGACCCAACCCAAAACCATTTTAGGAAGATGAAACCATTATATTCCAAGATGTACCTAATTAATATTTAGTTTGTTATCCAGATCCTCAGACATGTTGGAAACAGAGCTGATACAGACCTGTACCTATGTCCCAAAAGGACCTTTTATGTGAAGTTCTTGGCCTTTGCAATTAGGTCTTTCAGTAACAGAGCAGTAAGCATGGTGTGAAAGCCCATGTCTGGGCTTCTGAGGCTTGTGGAAAGAAGGCATGTGTAACTTTCTGTGTCACATTTTTGTGACTTTGGGTGTTGATTCAGGAAGGCCCAAATGGATCTGTGATGCCTTTGCCCTGGGTGCGAGGCCTGGAGGATGAGCCTTTCAGGTTCTACAGTGGGGAGGAAAGGTCAAGGGGTTGTCTCTAGCACAGAGGGACAGAGATGCAGAGAACTGGGGAGGAGGACAGGGGCAGCCAAAGTTATCAGTCTTTAGAGGAAATATCTGAAAAGGCAAATGTGTTTAGCTTGTGAAGGTGCTACCCAGATACAAAAATGAGATGGGTCTGTGGTTGCTCATCTTGTACTCATCTTCCCACCATCAATTTAATCTCTTTCTGTGTCCCTTCTCTTACACCTATTTTGTCCTTTTTCCTCCTGCTGTTTGTCTCTACTTTGCCTTTGCTCTTTTGCCTTCTCTCCCGATATATTTACCTGTTTTTTTTTTTGTTGAATGCTCAATTTCCCTGACTTCTCTTTTCTTTGATTTGAGCTTGCCTTTTCCCTCTTTCTTCCTTTGCTTCTGGCCCTGTTGATCCCTGCTTTTTTTAAACTGAAATTTGAAAGGTTTTATCTTTCCTCTGTAACCCTGGAAGGTGGTTGAGGATTACTTAGGAGTGCTATAGGAACAACAATCCCCCAGCAATCCTCATAATTCAACATGATGTTTAAAGCTCCATAGATCAAGGAGGCCTGATACAGAGAGACAGAAAATGACAGTTCTCCAGAGGAGCTGCCCTGAGGCTCAAGGAAAAAAATGAGGGAGTGGGAGATGGTAGGGTGTCGTCAAGAGTTTAACAATGGGTCTCTGGGGCTTGGAAAGCTCCAGTATTATTCCAGCAGTGATGTTAACCCTATTAAGTTACTTAAAACCCTTTGATTTCTCAAAGCTGCTGGATTCACCTATGGCCCTATCATTATTGCTAAGGAATTGACTATTCACAGGAGGCCAAACTACATTGCTTGTAATTGTCTTATTCTTGCTAGCTTCAACATGAGCTAAGCACATGGAGGCCTGAGGGTGGGATTTGACTCAAAATTACTCATTACAATTATAAAAAGTCAAACTGGCCGGAGTCTGCATCTATTACAGCATAAAGCACAGATCAGAATTTCTTTACCCTTCCAAGAAACCGAGTTTTCTGATGGTTTCCCTGTTGTAACCAAAACAATTAATGTACTGTGTAACAGAGCAAGAAATACAACAGCTGCTCCATGTGTAGAAATGCAAATAAATTTAGACTAACATCCAGCAAATATTTTTAGAGGAATATCTTGATGAGACAAATAAGCACTAATCTATTTTTACTACAATAATGCAAGGAGTTTTCTAAAAGCCAGTATCTCAGCTGAAGTCAGTAGAGTCCTTCCCAGCCTGTGCCTAGAGGCAAGTGAGGTTTCTTTTGCACCTGCATGTCAGAGAAAAGGCATCTTTGCTCCTGTACCAGCAGCTCCTGGCCAGCCCAAGTAAAGCTCCTGAGTATGATGCTAATGGCATAGGACATTTTCTCTGTCACTCCTATGGAGGGTGTTCATTTTCTTTCCAGTGGCCAACCTATTCCTCGAGTCACCTACACAGAAGAAGAAAAGAAAACATGGGGCACTGTCTTCAGGGAGCTGAAAAATCTCTATCCGACTCATGCCTGTTATGAACACAACCACGTGTTCCCACTGCTGGAGAAGTACTGTGGCTATCGGGAGGACAACATTCCCCAGCTTGAAGATATTTCCAAATTCTTGCAGAGTAAGTATGAAGCATATAAAAGAACCAAATCAAATGAAAGGTCTCAGGTGTCAGTGGGGATGGTGCTTCCAGAGGCAGAAAAGCAGGCCCTGCTTTATCCCAGGCTCCCTGTGGTGCTTGGGCATATCACTCAGCCTGTGTCTCAGGTCCCTCTAAAACTTCCAGGTGCACGATGGTACTGATGCTCAGATACTGTGATGGTGGCACACATGGGTAGAAAATTCCCTGCTCTTTCACAATTAAACTCCGTTTAACCAGGAGAGAAAAAAAAAAACAATTAACAAACTTTTTCCACTGGTAGGAGTCCAGATAAGGATAAATCAAACACAGTAGCTGTTTTTGAGATGCCTTTTTTTTTATCCTTTCAGCCTGCACTGGATTTCGCCTGCGTCCTGTTGCAGGCTTGCTCTCCTCTCGGGACTTCTTGGCTGGGCTGGCATTCCGAGTATTTCACTCTACGCAGTATATTCGCCATGCATCCAAACCCATGTACACACCAGAGCCGTAAGTACTTTGGCACAGAGAGTGTGTAAAGTTGCAGCAGACTAATAGAAAGGTCAGTCCAACTGGTAATAACCATGTGGGACTCTGAAGCACTCCTGGGAATGGAGCTAATGGAGAGCGGCCAAGCGACTGCTCTCTTCTAAAAACATTTTCGGAAGATTTCTAGTCTTTTTAATGAGCTGCATCCTGTTCTGCGAGTTCTTATGGGACTGATCAGACAGTTTTGCTACTGAAGGCGTGCTTGTGTGGAGTCTGGGACATGATAGAGCAGTGTACAAAGGCATTTAGTTTAGCTATTAGCACCCAAACAGTGGTGTGAAATCTAGAGCAGGAATGACTCAACATGTTGCAAGCAAACTTCTGGCAGCAAGATAGAGGAAGCCCAGATGGCTGATCCCTTCTCTTTTTCAGATTTATGCTGCAGTGTTTCTCTCTGTCCCTGGCCATCGTCCTCTTCCACTTGCCATTTTCAAAAGTTTTCTTCCTCTGCTTCATATTTTTACAATTCTTCCTCTCTTTCCTTACCATGTATTTGCTTCCTGCTTCTTCCCACAACCTTGTTTTCCACTCCATTTTTCTATCCCTCATTCTTCTGATTTTCCTCCCCGCTTCTGCTCACCCCATTCTCATCCTGCAGAAATCCAGTCTGAAATGTCTTGCACAGACCTGGCCTTCCTGGGAGAATCTTCTCTCTCTCCTCTTTCCATCTCACCAAATCACTTCTCTATCTTTGAAAAATCTAGCAGTCCCTAGGTGAGTTCCTCCCCAAAGACGCCTGTCCAGCTACCAACCTCAACTTGTGATGAAAATAGTCCTACCTGAGGAAGGGTGAGCTTCCACTTCTCAGTGGGAGGCCGTGGGCCTGAACAGGGACTGGAGTTGAGCTCTTAAGGTACATGTTGACACTATGGTGAATGGTCTTAGTAGCCTGACCTTCATCTAAAGAGATGAAAAGTCCATGTTCTCTTTGGTGGGGTGATTTCTTTCTGGGCTTTCCTGAGGTGAGTGGGCAGTGGAAGGGGTGGTTTTCTTCCATGAGGAAAAAATGAGGGATGTAAGATGATAAAAACACTGAAAATCCTGGAGTGTGCGAGCGTTTCCATCACAAGTATAAGTTTAGAGCAAAATGTTTTCCTTTGAGTCCTTAGCATTGTTTGCTAGTAGGAGGAAATGCACTGCACTCCTGCTTATGTGCAGACTCTAGGGAATTCATCCAGCATGGCTGAACTCTTCCTAAATTAAAGTTACTCAGATGTCATGTTTTCCTGCAGTGATATTTGCCATGAGCTGCTAGGACATGTGCCTCTTTTTGCTGACCCCAGTTTTGCTCAGTTTTCCCAGGTAAGTTCATCAGTGGTTTTACTATTTTTATAATTGAACACACCAGAGACTAGGCAACTCAGAGGATGAACTAAGAGCTATGAGGGGTGGGGTGTTTGTTAGCATATTGTTTAAGAGTGGCTGAGACTGATTAATTTATTGCTTGAAATCTTGACACAAATCACTTAGGTGAACTCATACACCCAAAATCCAGATGTCTGTCTTGTCTGAGTTGTTTTTTTACAGGCAAACCCTTTGTGAAGCCATCATCTAAAAAATTTTTGTAGATGTTGATCCTTCTGAGCAAAGTTAAATGGCTCATGAGTCACATGAATTATTGCCCCACCCTGCAGTCCAAATGTTAGGGAAAGTGAAGATTTTTTTTTTTTTTTTTTTTTCTATTGAAGCCACAGAGGAGGCTGAGTAAAGTGGGGAATTGTCCCAGCTGCATGGGAGAAGGCTGGAGAGAAGGTTTCTCTTTGGTAGTGTTAATGTCTCTGGAAAAGAAGCCAAACCTTGGTGAAGGAGTAAAGTTTTGGCTGCATCTTACCAGAAAATGTGGAAAGACAAAAAGAGAGAAAGTCAGAAAGATGGACAGACAGAAAGAGAGAAAGAAAGAAAGAAAGAGAGAGAGACAGAAAGACGAATGGGAGGAAGGAAGGAAGGAAGGGAAAATGGACTTGATGTAACATCTTGCTCACAAGACAAAAGTTGACTTGATGCAGTCAGTAAGCATTCAGTATTGCCCTCAGGCACTACCCTTTCCCAGAACTGGAGTTTCGTTTAAGATAAGACCTACTGCATCTTGGCTTATTAGGATTTGACATGGTGATGGCTGCTCCCATGCTCTTGGTGTGGGTGTATGTGTGGCTCTGATTTTGCACTGTGAAGTCCTCACTGGAGCAAACCAACCAAGATACCTGCTTATATACAGTCTTTGGTTGTCTTCTGAATTTAGCTATTGCGTGCCTACCGGGAAAGTCTCTATTAGCTCCTAATGCACTAATTAGCTCTTTCAAGACATGCCTGGCCATTCAGAAAAAATAACTAATTCAAGGCTCCAGGAAAACTCCTGCAATCATGGCCCATCAAGCAAAGAGGTATGGGGATGTGACGGATTTACCCACTTCTGACCATATCGTTCTCACGGGTGTGCATTGTAGACTTAATCAAAAGCCTGTCAAAGCAAGAGGAAAATTCTATTTGACCTCAATGGGCTTTGTACCCGGCACAAAGGATCATGCCTTGTAAATGACATTTGGACAGGACCCTTTGTTCATTTCTGGAGAGATTTCTGGTTTAAAATTGATGTTGCACGATAGGAACATGTCCTGTAAACGTTTGTGTGTGGTAGTAAGCGATGGTAACATTTAAAATGTGAGAAATTACATAAGACGAGACAGGAAGAATGTTTGCAATAAACAGCTTGAAGAATAATGGTTTATTGTTACAGGAAATTGGACTGGCATCTCTGGGAGCTCCAGATGATTTCATCGAGAAACTCGCTACGGTAATTTAATAAATGAGGGCTCAATTTTCCAAAGCACCCTGTGTTGTCTTAATTCTGCTGCCACTGAAGTCACTGATAGAACTCCCATAGAGTTGAATGGGAACAGAGTGAAGTCCATGACTGGAAAACCCCACCCTAAAACAGTTGCATTAAAGGAAAATAACTCTGGCACCCCTTATTCAAAGTGACAGTTGTGATTAAACACAGAAGCCCAAACAAGATTTCCTCCAGCACAAACATATTGGGCAAGAGATTACATGTTACTACACATCACCACAGAAATTGCAGGAGGCAGCTTCAGTAGCTGTTCTACCTGTAAGCATTCCTTCCCTTCCACTCTGCTAGGCAGGTAATGTCCTCTGCAGTCACTGTGGTTCACCTGAATTCTATTCTGAGACTACTGAGACCCAGAATTGCAAACTTCAAACAAAAACAAGGATATGCCTGTGAGATTAGTGTCCCCAGCAGCAATTCACCTGGGAAAAGCAATGCATTGTCTTTGCTGTTTCTGATAGATGAGGTAGTTCTTCTGAGCCAGAGCAGGTATCCCTTCAAAATGACAGACCGAGAAGTCAAGCTAGGCCACACACCATCTTCCTTCAGTATTGCCCATTCACTCTCTTGCTACTGCAGCTAGATGCCCTCTATGTGAAACAAGACACAAACTTCTATCAACAAAGGTTCAAGCTTCAACTGGATTTGCCAGCCAAAATGAAATTTAATTGCTATAGTTTCATTGTGTCTGCTCTGCTGACAAACGTAAGCACAGTAAAGCACAGCTGTGTTTGTCAGGGAACTGAACTGGTTTACAGGCACAATGAGTGTAGCACTGTGCCCCTTCCAGGAGAAGAATTTCAGTCTCTGGGAACATTTATTGTATTTATAGAGTTGATATTTTGACACGTGGCAAAATTTTAAATAGAATTGTGAACCTCAAATGTGCTCAAATCAATGATGTGTACCTACTCATTTTGATCAAGTAATCATATGTTTCTGTCTAATTTTTTTGCTAGGTTTATTGGTTTACAGTGGAGTTTGGACTATGTAAGGAAGGTGATTCACTCAAGGCATATGGTGCAGGGCTGCTGTCTTCATTTGGGGAGCTGCAGGTGTGTTCTATAAAGTGTATTCAAAAGATGCTATAATTGCTCAAATTTCTCTTCTGAATGTCTCCAGATCCTTATTTTGCTTCATACTTTGTGCATAGAAGTAGCATGAGATGTCATACTTCATTGAAGAGCTCTGATAATTGTGTCAGAGATAAATACACAGGGGACTCATACCTGTTTCTTTCGTAGTAAGTGACATTGTCATTGTATTCCACAGGACTAACACTTTCTTGTCTGAAACTGGGTGGCATTCAGTAGCTCTATCTTTCTTTCACAGCAAATTCAAGCACTTTTTAACCAAAACAAATTTCTTTCCTTTTGCTCATAGTATTGTTTATCAAATAAGCCTGAGATTCAGCCTCTTGTCCTGGAGAAGACTGCAGTGCAGAAGTACCCTGTTACAGAGTTCCAGCCGATCTACTATGTTGCTGAAAGTTTTAAAGATGCAAAAGAGAAGCTAAGGTAATCCAGTCATTCCGTATATCTTGTCCATTGCCAATACATTGGATCACATTGGCATAACAGGTCTTGGGTTGACAGTAACATTTTGGGAGACATTAGAAAATGTTGTGTAATGCTTAAAGAGATTAAGCAGTTGTTACATTCAAAATCTTGTTATGGGCAATAAGGGGAACACAGCTTATACATGAAGCAAGGAATTTGTGGTTAGTCTAATTAAGATTTTAATCTGTATAACCAAAATGCAACAAAAAATTATTATTAGTCCCATTGCAGTGATAGAATCATAGAATCATTTAGGTTGGAAAAGACCTTTAAGATCATCAAGTCCAACCATAAACCTAGCACTGCCAAGTTCACCAGTCCCTAAGCGCTGCATCTACAAGTCTTTTAATACCTCCAGGGATGGTGACTCAACCACTTCCCTGGACAGCCTGTTCCAGTGCTTGATAACATTTTCAGTGAAGAAATTTTTCCTAATATCCAATCTAAATATCCCACTGGTGCAAGTTGAGGTCGTTTCCTCTTGTCCTGTTACTTGTTACATGGGAAAAGAGACCGACATCAACCTCACTACAATCTCCTTTCAGGTAGTTGTAGAGAGAGCAATAAGGTCTCCTCTGCGCCTCCATTTCTCCAGACTAAACCAGCTCAGTCCCCTCAGTTGCTTCTTACAGGACTTGTTTTCTAGGTCCTTCACCAACTGTGTTGCCCTTCTTTGGACATGCTCCAGCACCTCAAGTCTTTCTTGTAGTGAGGGGCCCAAAACCAGACACAGTACTCAAGGTGCTGCCTCACCAGAGCCGAGTACAGGGGGATGATCACTTCCCTAGTCCTGCTGGCCACACTATTTCTGATACAGGCCAGGATGACATTGGCCTTCTTGGCCACCTGGGCACACTGCTGGCTCATATTCAGCCAGATGTTGACCCACACCCCCATGTTCTTTTCTGACGGGCAGCTTTCCAGCCACTCTTTTGTGTAGTGCTGCATGGGGTTGTTGTGACTCAAATGCAGGACCTGGTACTTGGCCTTGTTGAATCTCATACCGTGGGCCTCAGTCTGTTGATCCAACCTGTCCAGATCCCTCTGTAGAGCCTTCCTACCCTCAACACTCCTGCCCTGTCATCTGCAAACTTACTGAGGGTGCCCTCGTCCAAATCATTGATAAGATATTAAAGAGAACTAACCCCGATACCGAATTCTGGGGAACACCACTTGTGACTACTCACCACCTGGAATTAACTCCATTCACCACTACTCTTCGGGCCCGGCCATCCAGCCAGTTTTTTACTTGGCAAGGAGTACACCCATCCAAGCCATGAGCAGCCAGTTTCTTCAGGAGAATGCTGTGGGAAATTGTATCAAAGGCTTTATTAAAGTCCAGGTAAACAACAGCCTTTCCCTCATCCACTAATTGAATTACCTTGTCATAGAAGGAGATCAGGTCTGTCAAGCAGGAACTGCTGACTGTGCCTGATCACCTGGTTGTCCTGTACATGCCATATGATGGCACTAAAGATGATCAACTCCATAACTTCCTCTGGCACCAAGGCCAGACTAACAGGCCTGTAGTTCCCTTGATCCTTCTTTTGGCTCTTCTTGTAGATGGGCATCATGTTCGCCAACACTTAGAATCAAAGGTAGCTAATTAATGCAAAACAAATCTTGTTCACAATACTATAGTTAAAAGTTCTTGTACAAAAAATCTCCAAGTATCTTCTCCTTTTACTCTGAAGTTATGCTCACGCTTACACTTTTTTTGTGTGTTTTAAGTGAGCAGTTTCAGTCTGGTGATAGGGTATGGAGTTGTCAAATAGTCAGTGTCTTGAGGTCTTCAGATCAGGGCTGTGATGTTAATGAATAGAGTTTCTTCCTCTCTTCTGTGAGGAAGTGGATGGTGTTGATGCTTCCTTTCTTCACTCTCAGCCCAAGGTTTCTTCAGGGCCATTTTTATGTTTTCTAACATGCTTTACATCTTGCTCTTTCTACATTGGTCTGCAAATCTGTGTTAATTCTGATGTTACAATTTATATTGAATATTTTTACTTTGTTGTTTCCTCTAACCTGTTGTTTGGTTTTTTTTCCTGAATTTGCTTTACTGTGAATAATTGGCCAGTGGGGAGTTGTTGATAGCCCAGGCACCACCAGCATCATCCTCTGCTTGTGCCTTTAAGGCCTCTGTTATCAGCCCATGCTGGTACTTCTTTATTCTGCATCATTGCTTTAAGGTCAGATTTAGTTCACTATGTATACAGGGTTACTACTTGCTATTCCTGCGTGTATAAAAATTATTAATGATAGGTATTATAGCATACAGTTATTCAGAATTAAGCAAAACTAAAACAAATTAGGTAATAGCTACATGGTCATTAGACAGTTGCTATTACAGCTAAACAAAACTGCAAGCAAGCCTAATAAACCCAGTCCTGAGGCTTGTGTGGTTAGCTTAATACAGAGCCTCCAGCTTGTTACCAGCAGTGTGTTTACAAGACTACAGGGCTACACAGTAAATCTTTCAGTCATCTGTGACTGAAATACAGATTCAGTTCCAGTTCAACAAGACTTTGAAATAATGGTCCAGGTTCAGTTCTTGTTCTTGAAACAGGAATGGCTCAGACTTTGTTTGGGATTCAGTTTGGGTTCCACCTCACAGCAGTATTTCTATTTCTGTTTAAAAAAACCACCACCGTATTTCTGAATGTTAACCAATACACTAGGGGTTAGCCTTGGTTCACACTCCACAAATTTTTCGCTTGGAGATATCACACAGGGACTTGTCTTGGACCTGAAGTCTTCTCTCTCTCTGTCCCTCCCTCATTCACAGATAAACACATACTGAGACCCAAGATATTCTGCTGCTCCAGGCTTCCCAGCTCCAAGGTGTTCCTAACTACCTCTCCTGTTTCTTTCTCAGTCATCATAAACCTTCAGCCTCCCCTTCTGCCCTTTTCTCTGGGGTAATACCTGAGAAAGATGGCCTTCTCTTCTGGTTGGTGGTATTAAAGCCACGTATACAGTTTCTGTCTTCTCTGTATACTTCCCTAACTGAGTAGCAAGTTCCTTGAGAATGCAGGAGATGGTGCCTTACTCTAGAAAATCTATCTTCGAGAAACTTTTGTTTGTTTCAATGACCAAACTGGAAAACTGGTTATATTGAAACAGAGGTCTAAGGATTTTTCCAGTGCACGTATTCATCGCTTGTACCTGGACACGTGTGTTTGTGTGTAATAGAAAACCTCCCTGTAAAATTATTCTGATGCTGACCTGAAATATTTTGGCTTAAGGCGTTCATCTTCTAGTTAGGATTTTACCTTCAGCTGAGATTTAGGAAGACTGTCTTCAATTGTGGATCTCTCCCCTTAGAAAAACTGGACTGATGCCACTAAATGCTTTCATCTTAGCCAACATAATTATTTTTTTTCTGCTGTTATACCTTGTGGCCTGCTAACACAGAGCTCTATTTGAGACAATCTCCCTAGCTGATAATAATTAGGACTAAACTGAAGGAGCAGTGTGGAGGTGGCATCCAGCATATTCCACTGTTCTGGGCATATGGGATTTACCATGCTGAGTCACGGTCTGTATAGTGGGGCTCCATAATCAACTCCTGCGTGCTTTCCTTCCTCTTTCAGCAATAACTTTAATCTGAAGCAGATATATAAGCCAATATCCTGCTGGGGTCTACAAGGAGCCTGGAACAATAGCTCTGACCATCTCATCCCATTCAGAGTCCTCCTTTCCACAGTTCTGTGGTTATGCAAATTAACATTTTCCCATGATGCCAAAATCTTAATGTTTCTGCCATAGAATTAACTATTTTGCAGCAGGGAAGGTTGCAAATAAGGGCTAGCAAAAAAGCTGCTTCACTCCATTGACTATCATCTCCCACCTTTGCAATGATCTGGAAACCACGACCAACCATGCCAGAAGTTAGCACTTTTCTTGCTCCTTGTTATGCCAGGATGGCATAGGTGCTTGACCTTACTTTCCCAGAAATTGCAGATTTGGATCAGGATGTCTATATTTTGCATTATGGAAAAGAAAATGGGTTTTTCTAGTTTGGCAAATTTTCATAGCTACATAGTTGGCCTATACCAGGAGCAGAGTTGCCATGCCAATACATGATTAGTCCTGCTTGGAAAAAAAAAAAGGTAGTAAGGACAAATCCAGATTTGAGCGTGTTACAGAATGCTGCATGTCTCAGATCACTTGGCAGGAATTTCAGTTATTTCCTCTCTCAGATTTTCTCGTTCCCCTAAGCAACAAATGCACACATCAAGAAAAGAGTGAGTTACTGAAAAAAGGAGGTTCTCAGGTTTGTATGTGTTTTTGTATTTTTGCCTCAGGAAATTTGCTCAAACGATCCCTCGTCCTTTCTCTGTTCGGTACAATCCCTACACCCAGAGGATTGAAGTCCTGGACAATGCAAAGCAGCTGAAGAACTTAGCCGACACTATCAATAGTAAGAAACTACAGATTTGTTACCTTAAATTCCTCAAAACTTGGATCAGAATAGCAACCCTAAAGCAGATTTCTTCTGTTTTCATTTAATGGTCTGAGCCTGGGCAAGATCAAGTAGCATACATCCCCTTTCTGGTGCAAAAATTACTTCCTAATTCTAGCCAAGCTTCAAAATAGCTTTTCCACTTGTCTGCAGTTTCTTACATCTGAAATATCCAGTTTTAGTGGAGGTGTTAGGAAAGGCCAGAGGGCCTTGTGGTGGATTCTGATGTGTGGCTCTAACTGTTCTCAGTAAGAAAGAAAAGGAACAGCTTGGCTTTAATCACATTTTCTTTTTTTTCATTTTCAATTCTTGCCTTTTTCCTGATCCATCTTCCCCCTAACATTGGTTAGCCTGCTGAGAGCCAGCATCCCTGGTCCTGTGAGCCATCCTTGTATGGCTGATGAAGGCAAAGCGTTAAGTCTGCAGACCTTTTTCTAGTAATACCCTAATAAATGTGTCCAATCCAGCACGTCCTTGTTCACCTTATTCTTTCAGGGAATGGATATAAAGGGTAAATATATACAGGAGCGTTAGAAATGAGGTAGCTGTAGGATTAACTGTTCTGATTATTTCCTTTGCAGGTGAGATGGGGATCCTTTGCAATGCCCTCCAGAAGATAAAATGAAGATTTGCTGTAACTTGTTAGTCACTGGCTACTGACTAGAAGTTGCCATGTGTAAAAGCCAGTATTCATCTAGCCTCACTCTATTATCTTCCTGTGTATTGCATGAATGCTTATGTTATATATCTTAATTACTCTAGATTAGCAGAGAAAGAGACACCTGCCGGTGACTCTTGACTCTTTTGGCCTTCAGACACTAATCCATTTTTTTCTCACTAATGCATAAAAATGACCTTAGTTCTGGGAATTTGGGGAAAATCTCCACATCTCTTGTACTAAAGCAGAAGGAGATATCCACAATGCAGAGCTATAGTCTACTGTAGCTGTGAGGCTGTGTTTCCACTCTCGGCGCAGGGACAGGATGGCAATGACTTAATAAGCTAATCCCCTTTGCTTTCTCCCACAGTCATTCTTCCCTCAGTCCCTCACATTTGCACAAGGTTCCCATGCAGTCCCAAACTCTACACCTTTTGGGGGGTATAAATATACTGCTTGACCCTCTATTTTTACACACAAGCACTTCTATCTTGAATTTTATTTTTTTTTTCCCTAAAAACATGATGTTGCTATTGATCCCAAGTACAGATGCTAGTGGAAAAGACAGCACTTATGCTGCAGCCTCCTTAACGAAGATTTATCACCGTGATTAATATACTGTATTTGAATAAGCACCAATCCCAAAGGGGCTTGTGCAGGTCAGGAATGCTGTATGCTGTGATGTGTCATTGTTTTGCAGAGCAAAGGCTCTGAGGCTGCCCATTCAGGGCATGGAGTCCCTGCCTCAATACAGTACCCGCAAAAAAGCCCCTTCAGAGGATAGTTAACTAAAGGCAAGTCTGTGTGCCTTTTTGCAGTTGGATGTGAAGTCAGTCTGCCAATACTTTTGCAAGCAAGAAACCACGCAGTTGTTTTTATTAGTCCAGTCTCAGAGTTCTGCTGGCTGTAATGTTGCGTAACATCACGGATTCAGAGCTGATTCAGGAGCAGCCAGCTTACAGAAAGGGGAGACCTCTCTTACTAGACACACTCAGCTACTCACTGTGGAAAACTGATGTGTGAAGGTGACTTTTTCTTGTGTGTGTCCTTCTCTGGAGTGCTTTATTCAGCACTACTACAAGGTGTCTCCTAATTTTCTGGACTCCCAATCCAGAAGGTTGATACCAACTGTTTGGAAATGGAGAAGTGGTTCTTATGATGCAGCTGAAGACATCAGAGCCTTCCAACTCCTAGCTCACTCTATCTGTGGCTAGATTCCCCACCAAAGCTGGGTTAGCTGGGTCCCATTCTGAGTGCATTCAAACCCAAACACGGTATCTTTAAAGACAGCTCCTAAGTCATCATAATTTTTGGAGTCTCCTTCCTCTCCCACTTGAGCTTTAATCTCTCTCTTTTGGTTATAGCAGTTATTTTTCCTGGAGTGTAGCTCAACTGAGGAAGCAAATGGAAGCAAGGGTGATTCCAGCTTAACCCAATGGCTGAGCCATGGAGAGAGGAAACCTTTGCCATTCAGAAATCTATTTCTGTATTTATCCAATAACTTTCACTCAAAGCAGCTAAATCACCTCTTGTACTGGTCCACATCATATATTGCCTCCTTGTAGCTCCCTAGTTGAAGGAAGAAGGAGATCAGCACTTATACATCAGAACTGAGTGGAGCAAAGCAAAACAGAATAGTATTCCCAGTTTGAATCAATTCTGCATCATAATACTAATATGATTCAGGAGTCACATTTCTGTTAGAAGATCCAAAGATAGAGAAGTATTTGAAAGTCCACAGATCTCACACCTACTATTGTACTACTCTTGTATTTATAGTTTGAAAATCAATGGCGTTTTAATGTAAGCATCATCCTTTAGGAAGATGGGAAGTACAGCTGTTTCCATTATATTTATGGTGGGTAATAACATTAATCTAAGGATACCAGCTGGAAACCTTTTCAATAGACATATACTTATGCAAAATGGTATCATTTTGGTGCTTTGAAGTAGAGCTTTTTAATCTCTGTATCTTTTTTCTTCCTTTTTTCTCATGACAATATCTGTGTAGACCTTTCAGTCCTGCTTGGCATGTATTTTCAGTGTGAAGTAGCTCATCTTTTTCTCTCTTAATATAATAGGACCCAGAAGGTAACTGTGTACCACAAAGAGACAATTTCATCCCAAGGGTGAAGTCTTTCAAACTAATCCTCAGATAGCTCTCCAAGCTCCTCTGCTTCTGGCTGTTGTTATGACTGACAGCAGCAGTAAATCTATAACAATATTGAGAACCCAGGATTCATGGTTGTCTTTTATGTGCAAGTGGAATGGCTAAAGAGTACTGATGCCGCAAGTCTGATTCTGTGTCCCTTAATGCAGGTTTAAATGAGAAATAACTCCAGCCAAAAGAGCATAACATAGCTGTTCAGCAAGACTGAGAGATGAGAAAAAAGTTCAATGCTCAGTATTTTAAAAGCAGAGGAAATATATTGAAAGTAGATTTTCTTGCAGAATAAATTAGTTTGTGCATATGTGCTTTAAATAGTACAAATAAGTTGCATTTTACATAGTACTTCTTAATGGCTGACTTCTTATTTCCATGCTAAAGAAAATTAAAGGCATGTAGCAGAATGCTTTTTGCATTATCTGGCCAGTGTAACTCCTCTTTGTAAGGTAACTACACAGATTGATCAGAATTAAGTAGCCAGGTAGGAAGAAATGACCATTTGAAGTGGGTTCTAACTCAAAAAAGGTTGTCTTGGACTGGTTAAGTATCAATCATCCAGACAAGATAATGGAGCTTTAAAGTGAAACTGATATTTAAAAAAGATTAAATCTCTTGATGTGTGCAATTACCTCAAAGTGTACAGCAAAGCCTTGATTGCTTTACCTTTGCACACTCTACATCTTTGTATGCAACTCTGACCTATCCCAAGCTACCTTTTTAAGAAACCTGCCTTTCTTCTATCCCACTATGATCACATTTTTGATGTCTTCATCTCCAGCTCTGTTTCAGGGGAGCAAAGAAATCCTTTCATGAGGTCCTTTTCCTTTACAGTGACCTTGGTCAAGGTCAGTGATGGTGATGGAGGGAGGAGTTGTCCGCACGGGTTACGCAGAGAGGTGATCTCTTTTGGGTGTCTTAAGATGCCTAGATATGACAGTAGCCTTGGAGTAGGGATGCTTTATTCCCCAAAGGATGCAGAAAATTTTGGAAGAGGGATTAAACACAAGAGGACTCCACAGGAGAGCATTCTTTTAAAGCCTGTCTCTTTGTTGCTTCAAACCATGCTGGCAGTTGGTAGAAAAGACTTTTAATGTTCAAATGTAACCATTTAAATTAACCTAAATAAACAGAACTATTAATGCTGCATCCTTCTTGAATATTACTGTGCTCATACAGAGTGGAGATATGTGCAATGGGAACAGATCAAAAATGGGCAGGCTGTTTGTAGCCATCAGCCATCACCTTTTAAAGCACCCCCCCCAGGGACTACATGAGAAGGCATGAGCCTGTTCTTGGGATGGGAGATCCCTCCCTTCTGCCGTAAGAAGCTGCCTGTCCCCATGGGAAAGATGACACACTGTGCTCCAGTCCTTGCATAGACCTTTAAACTGCAGCACCCAGCCTGAGACCTCTCTTCCTGCACTCCAAGAGGTCCTCAAAAAAGCTGAAAGCAGAACTCTGGGACATCTGAGAAGAGATGACTTACATCATGAGTGAGGCCTTCCTGGGCCTGCCCCAAGCATGGGTTCAAGGTGGTATTGCAGTGTCCACTGGTTGGGGAAGGACATTTCACCACCTGGAGAGTCAGGGCTCTTTGTGCTGGTTCTGTAGTGGTCTGCAAAGCTGTGGTGTAAGCTCTAACTAGACTGCTTCAGCTGTCATACTAGGTGTTGAGTCCCTTCTGGCTATAAAGAGAACCTCAATTCACATACAGGACCATTGTGCTTAGTGCTGTACAAACATGTAGAGATGGGACTCTGAGACTAGACCATAAAGACAGCCATAGGAGTTGATGGCCCTGTATTTGTGACCAGTGCCTTAAACATGCGTGGCAAACCCTAGGGCTTTCACCTACAAGTCTGCATACAAGTCTACCTTGGGCCATTTGTCATTCGTGCCATGCCTGTGGGCTGGATGTAGAGATGCATGCACCCACCTTCACGGGAGAGGCCCAGTCTGCACTCAGTCATACTCAGCTCAGACTTTTCTCCTGTGCCCAGCCTTGAGATCACTGCTAGGGGAATGTGGAAGCGGCGTATCCAAAAAAAAAAAGAGCCTTTTCCCCTCCTTTAAATCTCACTTCTTCTCCCCCCACCTCATTCAGCTTGCAATTGCAATTCTGCCCCCCTTGCCCTCTCGGGGACCCCCGGGACACGAGTCGGGCCGGGGCAGCTGGCGAGGCGGAGGGTGCCGCATCCCCAGCCTGGCCGGGTTCAGCACCGCGGACAGCGGCTGCCCCTGCCCTGCCCGCGGGCGGGCCCCGGCCCGGGGACACCCCTTCCTGGGCTGGCATTAGCCACCGCCCGCAGAGCCCGAGGTCTGGGTGGGTGGATGCTCTTTGGGACGCTGAGACCTTCCTCCTGGGTACAGTGCTCCAAAATTAAACTTGGGTATTTCTGCCTCAGCCAGGCAATAGAAGGGGAAGTTGATACCTTCCCAGTGCTCTGTCTTGGGCCAAGGGAAACACGGTGCTGTCACCGTCTCTAAAGAACAAAATTTGGTTGCATCTTCCCTGGCCAGGGAGAATGCAAGAGCAACACATCACTGGGCTGTGTGACCCAGCCAGGATCACCTGCAAATGGAGGACAGAGAGGTGACCTCCCCTGTGGGCCTGCAAGATGATTTTCACAGGGGTTCCAACATATTATAACTTGGGGCATGAAGACAGGGACATCCAGAAACATGTTTATGGATGTCAAAGGATGCCATGCCCTGGAAGGAGAAGATGAAGCCTACCCGAGCTTGCCCTGCCAGCTGTGAGAATGACATGACTGGATTTTTTGAGAGTCTACTTCACCGGAGCTGAAATCACAACAGAAACAAATTCCAAGAAAGAATGCCTGGAGGTAGCACTCAGCCCTTATGAGACTAGGGTAGGACAGGTCAGATCCTGTGGGAAGGAATAGCTCAGAAGTAGGCAGTGAGCTTTGACTGTAGCTCAGGTCTCTCTGGAATTCCTACAATTGTGTCTGTGCAGAGGGGACACCACTTGGATTAGACTAGGGGTTGGAGGAAGACCCCCTTTGGTTCCTTATTGACATGGTCAAGACAGACAGGGCCCCACTGAGATAAGAGACGGTGGGGAGGAAGGGCAATCTCAGACATTATGCAGGGCAATGCAGACTGGGTGATGTAAATGGGGCTGAGGCTAATTGCCTCTCCACAAAGAAGCCCATCTCCAGGGGTGAATGGCTTGCAGATACCTTCAAACAGAACAGGATGGCCACGCTTTGAAGTTACCTAGAGGAGGATAGTTATCTTGGGCACTTGCGCATGTCCTACGCAGGCGGCTTCCCTTGATGTGTCTGGAATGGCCAACATAAATGTACCTACACCTAACACAGTAGTAACCAGCTTGCTTTCCTGCTGTCTGTCAGCTCCGATCTCACCATCCACATAGACGCCTGCATCTTCAGTTCCAGCAAATCCCCTGGCCATTGCTCTGGGAGAAGCACTCAACTTCTGGCAACTGAAATCTGCTCTACTGTCTCCCAATGAAGACTGACTTGGTAGGGATCTCAGGCCAAAAGGAAGATGCCAGCAAAGAAAAAAAGATACATGGCACAGACTCCTTGAACAGGCGAGGCAGCCTGAATTCCAACAGGGAGGAAGGCAGAGCCACTCTCATCCTGACCCTCACCCTCTGCAATGTGAGGAAAACTGAGCTCTCTAGGGCAGCCAAAGTGTTTGAGGTACAGACCTCACCATTCCCTTCCTTCCACTGATCCCATTCCTCTGTGCCTATTACCTTCACCTCCCCAACTCTGCATGTCCCCTTCTCTCACCCTTCGTTTGCTCTCTGCCTAACATTCCTCCAGCTGCCTTCCCCCTTTCTTATCATCCCTGATTTGCTACAGCTGCTCAGAGAGGTTGGCTGGCCATTCTGGGTGAAGAAGGAGAGTGCTCTTTAGGGAGGGAGCAGCTGATCAGTCATTTAGAAGAATCACCATTTTATATAAGGGCTGTTCAAAGCAGATTCTAGTCTATTGTTTCTTTCTGTTAGTTGTGATGGCTAACCACCTCTAAACAACAGTCCAGCATTTCAAGTATTCAGACTGTGGGGATTTTAGGAGCCAATGAATTTTCTCTGCATATTTGGCAGGAGATATAGAGAATATAAGAGCTGTAAACCATACAGACATTATATATTCTGGGCACTTGAAGTATCCCTACCAGGTGCTTACTCTCATCTGTAAAAATGAATAACTCAAAAGTATTGTATTTGTTACTTATTTTTAATCATTCTCAATTATTTAATGATTATGGTGTTATTATACATCAATAGATCTGCTTTCATTCTGCCAGGGTCTTAAGAGCTATGCAGCCAGTCATTTGTTATTTCTGCACAGATGAAATGCTACAGTCAACAGTATTCTATCTTTCATCTCCATCTATTTCTAACTAATTCTACAGTGTCTAATTTTTAACTCTGTCTGTAGCTCCTTCTAAACTGGGCATTACTACGCATCATTGCTTAACCTGCACTTCTTGTTAAGATTTGTTTTAGTCACCTTTTAAGGATATTATAGAAATGTATCTAGACTTACTTGGATTTTCAGTCTTTGGAGAAGCTTCATCATATGAGCATCTGTCCCTTGCAGATGCTTGAAACTCAGATCCATCACTTTGAAACCAGAGGAGCCCAAAAGCCCAAGAACTCTGCTGATGATCTTGACATTTTTGTTGAATGCGAAGTCCACAGTACTGATGTTAGTATCCTTATCACCTCCCTAAAAAGAGTAGCAGAGGATGTGAAAACTAGCAGAGAAGAAAAAGGTAAGAAATGTATCCATCTGTTGGTGTTTTTTTTCTTTCCAGAGTAAGTTTTTTAGCATTAGCTTCATAGTAGTAATTTAATTAGTCCGTAAAACAGGTGAGTGTGCATTCATTTTTCTTCACTGCATGACTTTTTTTCCTGAATTGGGACCATTCCCATTGGTGTGGAAAGGGAGGCACTTCATCATAGCCAGTGGAACTGAGATGAGAAAAGTGTTCCAGCAAAAAAAGAGATGAGAAGGACAGAGCAGCAAAGCAAGAAGTTGAGGAGAAAGTGTAGACTGTGGATGAGAGCTGTGCAGAGAACTGACTTCTCTGAAACTCTGCAGAGGGAACACAGACACTTGATGGAAATGCAGTCATATGGCAGAGGGTCTGAATATTTCATTGGCTTGTAGCGTATTGCATCGGCTTTGTTAAAAGAAGCAGTAGCTCTCTGTTTATGGTGTTCTGGCTACCGCCATCTGGGGCCAGCAGGGCTGTCTGAAGGTAGATTGCTCCTTTACTGAGAAGAGCTAAATGCATCAAGTGGTAAAAAGCTTTGAGAGTGCAAAAGGGAGAGAGGCTCAGCAGAAAGTCTGGAGGTAGTGGGAGAACCAGGAGATGAACTTCTTGTAGAGAACAGACCTGCGGCCAAATCTGGAGTAATAGAGCATCAGGCGTTTTCCTGGGCACCTGACAATCTTGTTTGGAGGTTATGAAGCTTCAAAAGCTGACCTTCAGGAACAGTGTTTCACCTGGCAAAGTGCTGCAAGTGGCTACTCGACTGCCTGTGCTGTATTTATGTCACCATCTTTATCAGTCATGAGCACGAGAAGTGAGTTTGCCAGTGGCAGACTGGTATTTTTCCCGTTTACAGCTGGATAGGGGATTGGTGAGTACAACAAGCTGTTAGAGACCCTTAATGGAATCCTGAAGGTGCCTGAGGTGCTCCTGATAGATGAGAGGGTTGAGGGTCCAGCTCATAGGTTGAGTTCTCTGAAAACAGAATTAACACGAGGCTTCCCACCCTTAACAAGGCCAGAAAGAAATCCCCAGGGAGCTTTTTAGCTAATACGGTCCTGTTTGGACACCTTTGGGTGTTGCTTGAAATTCACCTTCGGGCTAGTGATGAGGGGCAGTCCGTGTCAAGCTGGTATCAGGGACTGAGGGGATATCAAAAGGAAAACTGTCATCGGGGAAGCTGGAAAGCCAAAGATTTGGAGCTGAGGAAGCATGTCGTTAGGATTTCCTTTGGAGTTGAGAGGTTTGTGCTGAGAAGCAGAAGTTAGTTTCAGGTGTGCTGGGGCTGTGATCTACAATAAAAACAAGCTGCTGTTAAAAGAGGGTGTGTTTATGATTAAAGCAGAGGAATATTAGGGACATAATTTTCTTCACATTTTCCTTTTTCTTATGGTTTTGAACAGAAATCATAAAAGTCATCAGGCTTATTTTGGATGTAATGATGCTAGAATTAATACACTTGGCATGCAAATGGTCAGAGTCTTTCTGTTTCTAAGTAAGCTCAGACTTAGACACAGCACTCTTTAGTTTGTAAAGAGTCTTTTTTGAGTGTTTCAGACCCCAGAATTCAGTAATCCCCTGAGCAATTAATTTGATTTCAAGAAGAAAAGGTCAGAGAGTTGGTATCTGTGGCCCACAGAGACACCTTAGGCACCAGCAGGAACTGGGGATTTGGAAGTTTTGGCCTTAAACTTAATGATCAAACTTTGGCCTTTGACTCTCAAAAGAGCCTTAAGGCTCCTTTGGTCTTATTGAAGTGAATTCAGGATTGCTAAAGTGTCAGAAGACTTTCAGCTCAGCTAACCCCTTGGTCTAATATTTTATCCCGTTTTACTGGTATATCTTATTGAAAGAGGCTAGCTGCAGCTTCATTTTCTAGTGGGGTTTGAAGATGCCTGCTAGCGCATATTGGTAATTAGGAGGTATCTAAGTTTTATAAACATTGTTACTAGTCAGTAAAGATGCAAGTATGTACATTCTGGCTACTCCCATTACCTGAGGCTCCAGCTCCTGGATTAATCTATTTTTTTCCCCATATGGACTTTTTATTCTTTTCTTTGGAGCTTTTAGGCAAGTCAGACAGGTCTTCCCAGTCAGTTTGCTGAAGAACAGTGATGAGACAATGCCCTGCCTGTAGAGGCTTTAACCAAAATTAATTTGGCACTCAGTTGAGAAAAACAGCGGTTATCTCTTCTTTCATGAAGCAGAGACATTTGCAGCCAAATTGGTGTCTGTCAGCGCTATACCTGTTTTATTGTCTGCATCCATTTGTGTGACGAGGCCAAGGGTTCTGCCATTATCCTCCTTCTCCTCTCCTTTAGCCTGTCTGCCCTCTCCCAGGGTTTTGGGGACATAGATGACAAGACAGACATCTTGTATGCAGAACCATTGGTACAGCCAAAGGCAAAGCCTCAGCAAAAAATTCTGGCTAGACCAAAGACAACAGTCGGACCAGCATTTCTTCCTTCTTATTTCAGAATTGGCCATAACTGCATGAAAGAATTGGAATTTCCTAACATTGGTGTGTATTTGTAGCCTTGTATCCTTGTGATCTGGCTGTGTCTGGACAGAATATAATAGGCCTAAAGCTAAATTTGCCATTCAGTACAGAGATGCCTGGCATCCTCTTGTCAAGTACGAGATTAAGGTGACACCAAGCAAACCTTTTCTGAGCTGTAACATGCTAAGTCTGGTCACAGTATCAGCCTGACCACAGAAAGCAGTATTAACGTTGTCTTTTTTTCAGATTTTTGTTTTGTTTTGTTCTAATTCATTGGTTATAAATGCTAGCACCTAAGTTAAAATAGGCACGCTTTATGTTTATTTTAGTCACCAGAGCAAGGTCCACTTCAAAGAATGGCAACTATTTGGAAATTCAGCTACTGCTAGAATAATTTTACTGAATAAAAAAAAAATGAGCCAGAAGGAAAAAATTTGAAGTCAAGATACATGTTGGCCTGTTTTGTTTCTAGAAATTTCATGTTTTTCTTTTAAAATGTTGTTTTCACTTTTAAAGATCAAAAAATCTAAGACAACTTTTTAGACAAGATCAAAGTAGTTTTTTTAATCCAAAATGTAGAAATAAATTTCATAGAATACCAGGTTGGAAAAGACTTCAAGGATCATCTGGTCCAAACTTTTTTGGCAAAAGCATGGTCTAGACAAGATGGCGCAGCACCCTGTCTAGCTGAATCTTAAATTGTCCAATGTTGGGGAATCCACTACTTCCCTGGGGAGATTATTCCAATGGATGATTGTTCTTATCGTGAAAAGTTTTCCTCTTGTGTGCAATTGGAATCTCCCGAGGAGTAATTTATACCCATTACGCCTCTTTCCCATGTAACTCCTTGTAAAAGGGTGTCTCTGTCCTTTTTGTAGTCACTGTTTAAATAGTGGAACATATATTGTGATGTGTCAAACAAAATATCTCATTTGGCCTAAGAGGAAATTTTTTTGCCTTTAAAAATTATTTGTACTAATTAGAATTGAGAGATTATCATTACAAGTTAGTTTCAGACCATTTTTGATCCCGTCTGCCAGTTTGGTCAGCAAATTCAACTACATATGATGACATATAGATATGAATATTCTTATATATTGTTGAAAAGAAAGTTTGCAACATTCAGCACAACTTCTGTTTTCTGTGTCTTTTAAAATTTATTTGATCCTATCTCATTTAACTCTTGTTGCTTTCTCTCCAGTGCCCTGGTTCCCCAGAAAAATACAAGATCTGGACAAGTGTCACCATCTGATCACTAAATATGATCCCAGTTTGGACCATGGTCACCCTGTAAGTTTAACGTCACTGTTATTTCATGTTTTAAAAAAACCCTTTCTGTAGGGATATTTATGTAGGGAAATTTCAGGGGTAGAGAAATATTCATGAAAGGAGAGAAAAAAATGAAGGATCAGATAAAGGCTGGTCTTCAGTGGAATTAGGGAGTATAGAATGAATGACTTAATAATGAGAAAAGCTTATGGGTCCTGATTCATCAAGGTACATATTATTAACACCAGGCACATGCTGAAGTAATAAATACATGATCCTCAGATCCTGCAGAGGAGATGGTTATGCTAAAACTTGCAAAAATTGTCTAGACGGAAAATCAGATAAATACATGGCAGTACTGATTCATGGATTTAAATGTGACTGGAGAAGCTCAAAATGTCTAGTGATTTCAGATGAGGTAAGCATCTGAAGTTTAAATTGGAAGCAAATTAGAAAGATTATAATCCTAATTTACATCTAACTTTCCACAAGGTCTTTGGATACAGGATTTTAGCAGTATGTATTGATACTACTCTGCAAAATATTGTTAGAATACTTGTGACGAGTTTTGCCTTGAATTCAGGCAGTAGGTTTTGGTTATGAGTGGGCTGCAAAAAGGGCTTTTCTCATCATAGTTTTGCATGTGTGCTCTTAGCTTTGCCATAAGCAGAAATTCTAGAGAAAGAAGAGGAAAAATGCAGTGTGGAGTCCTGCTCTAGCGATGGTAATAACAAGGCAAAGTACCAGGAACAAACACACACACACTCATTTCTCATCAAAGTTTTCCAGCTTTAGTAGAGATGAGATATGAGTTAGGTACAGACAAATAAGGGACTCCAAAGGGCCATTTGCTGATTGGCAAAGGTGGTCACAAAACTGTTGTGTTCTGCCAAATCTACCATAGAAGAGATGCATGAAAGTAAAAAAAAAAAAAAAAAAAAAAAAGAACAAGGTTGTCACCGAAAAAAAGCGTACAATTTACTGCTAATGGTTCAGTGTCTGCAAAGGGCTGCTCAAGCTGTGCTCAACAAAAACTCAGTAATAGAAAGGAAGAAAAAAAAAAAAAAAAAAAAAAAAAAAAAAAAGGCACAGGCTTTGCACTGAAAAATACAAGGAAGATTTAGATGTGTGTCAACAGAATTTACAAGATTTTGTCATTCCCTTCTCTAAATGTCTGAATTCTATTTAGACCCTTTTATTAACCCACACAATGTTAATGTTAGCTACGGACAGTTCCGTGTGGTACAAAACCACTTTTCAAGTCTATGTTCTATTTTTGAGAACCATTTATTAAACTATAATGATCTAGGAGAGTTTCATATTCTCCTTAACCAAGGCATCTTTCATTCTTAACATCACATCTTTCTGACAGAAACAATCCAAGTATTTGTCATTTTCCTGAGCTAGGTCTGAGGCTGTTTCTCATGAGACCAATGAATGCACATTGCAAATTCTTTGAACTGGACTACATTCCCCTCCTACTTTGCCAAATATGAGATGTGAACATTGAAGAGGATGAGAGAAAGCACCAGTGGTGCAGTTACCAAAGTCCTTGAGTGGGGATAAATCTACACTGCAGAATTCAATGCAATGTAGAAATGCCTAAACTAGCTTGAAACAACTTAGCTCAAACACTGCAAATCATTTGTCTGTGCCAGGAGGGAGCACAACGTGGGCTCATTTATTGTGCTGCTGAACATGGTTCAGAAATGGACAGGTTGGAGGAAAGTACCAAATATGCTGCTGTACAGGTAGCTCAGCAGAGATTTTGCATATACATTTTCTACCAAGTAGGCAGTTTGGGCTGTCCATCTCAATACCTTCCCTTTGTTCTTTACTGTCTCTTTAAAGGCCAGAAAAGCGAACAGATAACGTTGTCACACCAGTCTTTGGGGCACTCTGACACTGGCTGCAATGGTCCCCTGGGGAGGCTCCTGCTGCTGGGAGGGTGGATACAGAGCCCTGGGAACATCAGAGACAAAGCTGAGAGGTCACAGCCTCAAGGCTAGCCTGGCCCAATGGCTTTTCCACATGTCTTGCGTGGACTTGTTACAGCTACTGACAAGCAAGGGTGGCATCTGAATGAACATAATATCCATAACACATGACAAAAATAAACATGCTCTTGGGATCCAGTTCTTTCCTCAGATTCATGCACACAATACTCATTAACTGCAGTATTACTGGTGTTATTGCTACACTGAAAATTATGTGAATAAACCTAAGGGAGAAATTTGGCTTGTAGTATGCAAAGTGGTTCCAGTAAATTCTGAATATTTTAGAATACTAAATATTTGTACAGTGATGCTGATCAACGCTGCTTTATGAGTTATATTAGTAGCACAGTGCCAGATTTCAGATTTTATTCCTATTATGAATGATGTAAAATTCAAAGGAATTTGATTCCACATCCTTATTCATATTTAATAGCTGGAGAAGCCTGCTTGAGTCTCAACTTCTAGTAAACACTGAGGGGGCAAAAAAACCCCCTCCAGTATTTAATAAGTAAGCTGCCCCTTGAACAGTTACCACTGAATCTGTCTTTATCATAACATGGTAATAAATGGGCAAGGGGGGTTTTTACTTAAAGCCTGCATTTTCTACAGATTCAATGGTGGCTCTAATGATTTCTAAGCAGTGAGGACCCCTTCTTCTCTTGAAGTGCACGGTATTGTGCAGATGCAGTGTACTTTCTCTGGCAAGGTGGTACTAGGCTTGGTATCATCAAGTCCATCACAGCCCTATATTGCAACTTCTGTGCTTAGAGCAGGAACGAAATGATTTGGAGATTCATTTCTTCTCCAGCAAAAGTGACACCCCTATTTCAAATTCATTTTTAATGTGATTTGCATTTAAATTTGACTGTGAGTGTAATGGTCTGTGATGTGGTGTTTATGAATAACTCCAGAACCTTCCCACCGTGCCACATTGCTTTTTTTTTTTCTGGTCACAGGCCCAAAATTTTCATCAAAATGTTGTGGATGTAACTGAATGCAGGCTTTGGCTTACCCTGTTCATAAGGCTCAAGATTAATTGCCTCAGAGAAAACAACCTATTTGAGGCTTTGTTTTTCTGAATGCTTCTATTCGCAAATTTATTTATGCCCACAAATCTCTCTTAATGTAAAATATCTTCCAAATTATTTTCTAACTCAGGGATTCGCTGACTTGGAGTATATGAAACGGAGGGCATTCTTTGCTGACCTTGCCTTTAACTACAGAGCGTAAGTACAAGGCTGCTGAATAAAGACCAGCAGTTCACATGTGCTTTTAGACATCTTTGGGTGCAAGCAATAACAGAGACGTAATCTTTTGTCAATGTATCAATGGGGCTATCTTCTAGAAAACAGAATTCAGCCACAGAAGCTTTTGCTCAATGTGAAATAGACTTTTCCCACAACACAGCAAATATAACTTAAGATAAAAATCTGAGGATTGCATTCAGATCTCCTTCACTGCTGCATTTTGTCTTAGAATTGAGAAATCAGCTCTGCTTTCATTTCAATTTTGCAGTTCCTTTTAGGACTAGCTCCTAAACTGAGGCTAATCTTTTTCAAGGAACTATAAGGAACAATGTTGAGGTGCATATTTTTGACAAAAGTAATTTACTGTTTCTATTATTTGTTTGACAAAATGTCTCTAGTCGTGTACATTAGCTACCTAAAAACCTCTCATGTCTCGTATGGGTGAGTGAAAATGGTTCTCCCTTCATGTGTAAAACTTCATCAGAATCGCACTGTTGTCTGACAGAGTCAATCAGTTGTATAGGTGGAACCAGTTGTGGATTATCAGCCTCATGGTGTCCAAGAACCAGTGAAATCTCCCAAGTCTTGAGAGACTTCTATATGAGTACAGTTTTCTCACCACCACCATATACCACAGCTAGTGCAGCACAAAACCTAACTAACTCAAAGCTACTGAAGAAGCAATTGTGAGGAAGAGGAGAGGAGCCCACCCACCAAAGAAGTTAGTAATAGCCACGCAGTTTGTGCCTGGGCAACTCTCTGCTGATGAGTTTATGAATCCTTCTCTGCAATGATACTGTGCTGATCGTGTCCTCCAGGGATGGACCCTTCAGCCACACACTGCATTTTCATTGCTAGATTGCCTTCAGTGGAGGTACAGGTAAGCCTGAAGGCTTCTTTTTTCTTCTGTAAAGCACAACATGGCTCCATTTCTTAGCATATCCCTCTGTTTCTTCCCTACACTGGAACAAAGAAGAAAATGCACACACTAGAACCTACCAAGACAATGAAGTTGTTAATTTTGTACTATTTTGCCATTTCTATCTTCATTTCAGCAAATATTCATGGCGCAGGCAAAGAAAATAGTACTTGGAAACTGAACTTGAAACCTGCTTCTGACACACGCGTTCTTTCCTCTCTTCATTACAGAGGAGACCCTTTGCCTCACATCGAATACACAGCACAGGAGACTGCAACTTGGTGAGTTTGTTTCTTACACTCCAACTCCTGCGATATTCCACTGCAGCCCCAGGAAAGACTGGCAGTTATAACATTTTAAAACCATATTTGTCCATCTCAAATTTTACTCTTTGCCTAAGCGTCACCTTTTGGTCACTTGTTTTGGAGAAACCCTTTCTCAGGGCGGCCCTTAAGTATTCCCTTTCTAGAGCAAAATACCTTTTCCTGACCATCTCCCTGCCTGCCAGACACATCAAGATATCAGAAGCCAGAAAACACCTGGAGTCTATAGCATAATTTCTTCTAACTGACCTCTGATTAACCATAGCTATGGTGATGACAAAAAGGTCACCTTTCCAAATCTGTTGCCAGGAGAAAATGCCCACTCACAGGATGGAAGTTTACTCAAAGGGTGTGTCTAATCCAAAGTTCATAGGACAAACCAGCCTTGCCTGCCGTCCTGCAAGTATTCATTGCTGTTAATATGAGTAGGTATCATTCTCTCAAATTGAAGGTAAAAGAAATTTTGGAGTGTCCTTCCAGGATACATTATTTGCAAAGCAAAAAAGCCTTTGATATCATAGGAAATGATGGCAAGTTACTTTTACAAGGGTGCAGAATTTCTTCACTGGGGCTTTGTTTCTCCTGAAGATTTGCTACTCAAAAAAACCCAACAACCCAAAACCCAACCAAAATTAGTGTGATTCAAAGTTTGTTTGCAGACATTATGTGAAGCATATAGTAGATTTGAAAGAAAGCAGAGTTCTTATTTCATATAACTCCAGTTTCTTCCAGTAAGTTTAATAAATCTCAGTAAGCAGAAATCTTTACACATTTGTATGACAATACAAACATAAATGTCCAATTGTCCCAACTAAGAGCAGAGTCCCTGGATTGTGCAAGGTGCCACAATGTGCACATAATAAGAGAGAATCTTTGTTCATTGAAGCTTACAATGGCTTCCCAGCCTAAAGGTGGGAAAAAAGAAGAACGATAACCACAATGTATAACTGCAGAACTGAAAAAAGCTAGAGCTTAAGTGATTTGCCCAAAATTATACACAAAGTTTATGTCAATGCCAGGAATTAAATCCATATACTCATCTCATGCCAGAACCTCAATCACAAGTTTAAATAAAACCTACTATGCCATATGAAGCTTGAGGGGTGTTGCCTTGCATCCAACTCATCCAAGCAGTCACATTTTTATTAAGCTCTAATAGGTTTTTATAGCATCTGTCAATTGTTGAAGATTGATGATCGGTGTCATGCTCATGATTGCTGCCACCAGCCAACAATCTTGGCATGGGATGGTGTGTGGGAATGTCATATTTAAGAAAATTTAATTTTGTGTTCTTTCCTGTTTTTCCCTTTTGTTGCCAACCTCCGTCATTCCAGACCTTCTCCACCTCGAATTAGTCCCACTGTGGTAACAGAATAGGCCTTTAAAGGAGTATCTGCCCATTTCCCCAAACAGCCAACCCCGGCAACCCAGGTTGTCTTGTTATGCAAAGCTGTTCCCAAAATTAGACCTCCCTACGGTTATCACAGCCCCCTGGGGCTGTGCCCTGAGGTCAGCTGCATTACAGCACAACTTAATTGAGCACTGTGCAATTGAACGGGAAATTTGTAGTGCAGACAAAATTCCCTTGGTGTTCACTCTGAAGAGTTGTTGGATGCCTTCAGTTTGTAGCAACATGGTTATAAAAAAGAAAACTAATCAAGTGAAGAAATATGACTTTCAGAAAACAGAGGGTACAGATGATCTGAGTTTCTGTTGTCAAGCAGGCTTGTTGGAAGGCCCTGAAACTAAGTAGTCATAAAAGATGTCTTATGGGTAAAAGCTATATAAGAAAAAGGGAGAATCTAGGACAAAATTATGGGGATGCACCTGTCACATCTTTATAATAAAGCTGAATACTGCCACCTTTTTCTAAAAGAATAAGGAAATTTATGTAAAGTAAGGTGATTGCCTTTAACGTCTTTCAAGCGGCTGGCTCCATCCTTCATTAGGAGGGTCTTTCCTAGAGTATTTCATAGCCTGTGCTTTCAGCAGTTTTTCTTCCCATCTCTTGACTGAATTACCATCATGTAGCAGCTTAATGGTCCTTTGAGTGATAGCACCTCAATACAGCAGAGACACTACCTCAGGGCAAGCTAAGTTGTCTGGAGACATTTGCTACTCTATTGACTTTTTCGTGAACTTAGATGATTGCCTTAGAGTTACTCAGAGAGGAGCAACACTTAGCTTTGGATAATTTATCACTAGTCTCTGAGGCTGCCTACGTTTCTGTGGTAGTCAATGTCTGCACACGCAGTAGAATGATACTTTGGTAAAAGAGACCATATGTGCAGAAGTGTAAACAAGCCTGCCCTCTCTAGACTCCAGGCAGGGGATGAACTGTGTACTGGTTCAGATCCTATGCAATCACACTGAAGTCAGTAGTATTCTATGGGGAAATAAGCCAGGGCAACACTTGAACTCTAGTCCTCCTCATTTTTTCCTAATTCTTCTGTGGAAATGGCCCAGTCTCCTGTGGCTTTTGCAATAGCGACAGCAGCCACTGTTTCCCTCTGTTCTTTTAATTTTTTTTCCTCCTAAGGTTTCCCTCCCCCCACTTCATTCTGGTTCATTACACCCACACTGCGTAAGACATTCATACAAACGAAGAGAGCCATTACCAGGGACTGGCTATCACCTCCATAGCAACAATAGCATCACAAAAAAAAAATACAATACAAAACCAACAAAAGGTCATTTTCCGTAGCCAGCATTTCCAAGAATGATCTCAATTTTCATAAAACAATGTTTATAAAATTGTTAACACCCTAGGGCCATGTCTGAACAAAAATAACCATTTCTATAAGGTTCTTTGCCATCCTATTACTACTTGTTTATTTTGCAACAGCTAAATATATTCCAAACCACAGCTCTAAATCCAAGCTGAATCAAGTTTGGGAGAAGCTTGAAGCCTGTGCCCAAATCTGGTTATATATATTTTTCTTCAGCTGATCTCTTTTTGTATAATGGGCTAAATGCTTCAAGAAGTTGGCATGTCTTTCAAATACGTAGCACATGCCAGGCATTTTGAACCGCAAAAGTATCACCCTCTTTGCCTGTCCAGATGTTACTCTTCAGTATCAGAAAATGTGCTTTTTTAGGAGGAGGATTTTAAGAGTCAGACATAGACATGGTTTCAGCATGGAGGTGGAGGGACTGGCATTTCAAGTTGTACCCCCATGTAGAGCAGGAGGGAATACCTGACTCGTTCCATCCCTAAACTGCATGACATAGTGAGGGCCACAGCCTCAGCTTTCTCACTGGGATTTCTCTGGCACCTCCAACACCCTTATACCTAAGCAAGAAACACTTCTGAATCAGGACTAGAGTCCTGTTACATCAAGGGAGGGTGTAGGAAAGCATAAAACAGGTTTGCTGAACAGAACCCACCTTCTGAAGGAAGAGCAAACCAAAAAAGCTTTATGCTTTGCTACACCCATCCAGGCATAGGCTTCCAGGCACCATGTATCCTGAGTTCAAATTTTTAGACTCTTGCTTATACTGGGGGTTTATGTCTCTCTGTGGAGCTATATATAGGGCAGAGAAGTACTGTTTTGTTGAGGTAGGTCATGCTATATGGCTTTTGTTTTTCAGGAGAGAAGTCTACAGGAAGCTGAGCAGCCTTTACCCTACTCATGCCTGTACACAGTACCTGGATGCTTTCCAGCAGCTGGAGAAATACTGTGGTTACCAAGAGGACAACATACCTCAACTTCAGGATGTCTCCAGATTTTTGAAAGGTCAGTCATTATGAACCATGGTTTACATGAGGGTTTCCTGCATATGTATGTACACCACATCCACACACAAACCATCTCGTAGGACACAAGCTGGTGAGAAGAGCTGATTAGCTGTAGCATTCCCTCATGCAAGATGAGGTGTAGCAGAGGACATTAATACCAGGTACATCCAGGGACCAAGTTGTGTTTGCTCTGTGAGTAGCTGCAGTTGACATAGCACTAACCAGCTAATTCCAGTGCAAGCACCAGTACAGCCATAGCAGCACACTGCTCAGCATGACTTCCACACACAGGTATTCTCTGGGTTTGGCTGTATTTTATGCTTCTGTAGCTAGGCTGCTACTAAGACCCAAAGACACATACAGGTATGTACCTCTCAAGTCCAATTTTTTTCTGATGCATGAGGCAGGATGGCAATGTGTGCTAGAGGAAATGATTTCCTAGAGGTCCTGCTAGTCAGTCAGCAGCTGCCTTGAAGCAATGCTGCTTCTTTCTGTCTCAGTGGTCCCACTTGCCAGACTAAAGAAAGGCAGTTGTTAAAGCTTCCTTGCTCTTCCTCAGTGTCAAGATGTGCTAGAGAGTGGAGGATGGTTGATCACTAGGCTGAAATCAGTAATAAAAACTATGGCTTAACTTTAAATAAATTCAGTTTAAATACAGTATTCAGGAAATCAAGTAACCTTCTCCCTGTATCAGCAGGGGATGTTAGTAAGCTTGAATGAGCTTCCTGTTGCTGAAGAGGTTTTCAAGACATTGCCATTTTTAGGGAAGATTAAGCTGTTTGATGAAAAAGTTTTTACTGCACCTTTAGTGTAAGGGAATAGAAGACTTGCATATTGAAAACATCTCTCATGAGCATACCAGCACCACCACATCCAGCTGCAGGAATTTTTCTGTGTATACATTATGTATTTTCTCATGTATTTTCCCTTCTATTCAATTATCCATCTTACTTCCCTCCTATAGTAACTGAGCTGATAAATATTTTTTCTCATTAAGTACTTGATCTCATCTTATCTCACTCACATGGTAGCTGCAGCAGGGAGCTCCAGAAATCTTGTGATGCTGATTTGATTACCACAGATATTCAAATTCTTTAGGTAAATCAAGGGATTTCAAAGTGGGAAAATTGGCAAAATGTGAAAATATCCTCTCATAATACAAGTTGTATTGTTCATGTTAGTTGACAGGATTTGATTGTCTGGAGTCTGGGACAGCTCACTTCTTTTGTAGGCTCTGGTTCTAAATTTTCTCTGTGACATACAAATTATTCTGAGCAAAAGAAAAAAAAAAAAAAAAAACAGTGAAAATGGTGATTCTGAAAATTCTTCTAATAATGGTTGGGAAGATGTTCACAGTGAGTTTTAACTGATCTACTGTAAACACAGGGTGTCTAGTGTAAGATAATTGTCCGAACTATTCTGGCTGGGCATGAGAGCCAGGCAATTCAGAGGCATTTTTTTCCATCCTGGAATGGATGTCTAAGGAAAATGGAAAGAATGGTTTTTAAAAGCACTGGTCCTACCCTTCTTAAACTGTAGATGAAACCTAGATTAGTTTAGCCTAGAGGCTTTGTAAAAGATTATGTGTAGATAGAACAAAGTTGGTTTGGTCCTCATCAAACAACTGTGTGCTTAGGCTCTTTCCTGTGTTACAGGTGTCCAGTGCCCAACCAACCAAAGCTCAATCAAACTATAGGCTGTGAGGTGTCTCCCAAGATTCCTTGGCATACAGTGAATGTGTTTCAGCTACTACAACCTATGTGGAAATGCATAGTGCACTTCCTCCTGTCACTGGTTGGCTCTGGGTGAGCCCTGAACTGTCCCACCCTCCAAGTTAGGATACAAATCCCAGCATGCATCTTTGCTGAGCACTGCTTCTAAGGATTAGACCATTCTTTAACATAGGTGATGATAACTCTTTATATAAGTAACTACACAGATACAGAGAGAGAAAGAGAGAAGTATCCTGGAGACAAAGTTCTCATGCTATAACCAGCCCACACAGCCAAATAAACTTCCGTCATCTCTTTCACTCAGCAGTATATGTGAAGCCAAGCAAGAAATTTCTTTCGAATTTAATACAAGTTTACTAGAAGATCTGTCTAGTGTTAGCTGGCCTGCTAGTGAGGCTGGTTTGAACAGAAATGAACTCTACATTATAAGTATTTCATAATTACTTCAAGTGAATGTAAACAGTTAACCATGCGATCATTTAAGATGACAAGAGCTTTTCTAAAGGGTTAACTAGATGAACCTAGGCCCATCTTTCTTTCTAGGAAAGATGTTTGGATTTAGGCAATCATTGTCCTCCACAGCTGGAAGAAATTACAGCTAGTGAACTCAAGCAAGCTCACACTACAACGCACAGGCCTGTATACAAGAGTTTTTTAGGCCAAGTAGTAAGCCTTACAGATCACTTTAGGTCAACTGCTCATGGCCTTCTCTTCGACTCATTCTGATTTCAGAGGTCTTTGGGCAGCAGGTCCAATCAGTCACACCCCCAATTCTCTACTGATTGCTGCTTTTATTGTGCAGTAATGAAATAGAATTTCAGATTTTGCAGATATTACCTTCAGCAGATAACTTTTTCCTATGGCTTTTCAAGGCAACTGGCCAAGTCTGTTTCATCAGCAGACTGTCTGATTTACTGGCCTATATTTAAAAGGGCATTTCAGGGAACATAAGCTGTAATTTTCATTTTCCCTCCTGCTCCTCCAAAATGGATGCTAAAGCAATACAAATTTCCCTAGACTTTTTCATAGTCCTTCCAAAACTGAGTTACTTAGGGCTTCGTGCTTGTCTGATATATTTTTCAGCTGGTGCACTCCAGACTCGGAATTTACCCCAAAAATGACCAGATTGTAAGCTTTTCACCTTCCTCTCTATTGGCTTAGTATGGTACGTGCAGCAAGGGAGTATCCTTCCGTGCCAGCCCTGGGCCAGTGCCTAAGGAGACATAGCTGATGGCCTGTCTGTTCCCCAAAACACCTTCCTTTCTTAATTGGTGAATGGGGAGAATAATAAACTGCTTTACAACTACTTCCAATTTCCTGGCTAACTCTGAAGTCTTTGCTCAGCATACAAAGGTAAGGACATAATCTCCATAGCTTTGTTTGCTGTTGTTCAGTTTGCTTTTAGTCAGTTCTGTTCCTGCTACTTTTGAATTCACTGGAGGGATAGAAGATAAAACTGTGGCAAATGCTACATATCTAGTCCCTCACATTGTTAGGTAGAAGCATTCCTTCCTGTCCACTCTTTTTTTGCCCTTTAGGGCTTCAGATGTTTTGCCATTTCTAATTCTTCCAGTGAAGGCTTTTTTTTTCCTTTTCTTCTCTCTTTTCCCCCCCTTTTTTTTTTCCTAATGAGAAAAGTGCTAATAGCCAGACAGAACAAGACAAGAAATGCTGGAAGAAACATTGAAAACCAAACCAAAACAAATCTTGTAAATGACTTGGTTTCTGGGTGGGATTTTTTTGTTTGTTTACATAAAATAAATTAGGTTCCAGGCTTCATGACACAATAGAATATGGATAGAGAAGGGAGAATAAAGCCATTTCTGCATTTTTTTTAAAATGTAGTTTTATGCTTTTAAGAAGATGAAATGTCATTTATGGGAGCTGAGAATGCAACACAGATTTTGAATATAGGACTTCAAAAAGATTATCATTGGCTCTGTTTTAAAGCAGTGATTTTCAATTTTCTTAGCTTTGCAGACCACCAACATGTTTCCCATGGAAATGCAGATTATGTAGTCTGCTGACCATAGGACTCGTTATTTTGTAAATTGTCTCTCACAGACTTTTCATAGTAATGCAGGGTGTCCTGGGGTAACACTGATAGCACAAGCTGATCTTCACTGTGCAAAAGTCTTGCATTTTTCTGTTCTGTTCTATGGACATGTAGCAGACACAGCAAAATGAAACAGGTATGATCACGTCACTGGGGAGCTGTGTAGTTAGTTTTAGACAAACATAGTGGTGAAAAAAAAACAGAGGGAAAAAATAGGTGAGAACACTGATGGAAACTCTGATGTTAACTCTGATGTTAAATGGTTAAGGGCCAAATCTCAGCACCCTTATCTCTGATGAGGACCTGTTTGCTCTTTCTCCTGCATATTCCCATTCTAACAAAGTCCAGGCAGAAAGGTAAAATTGATAAGTTTTGCCAGTGTTGAGCTAGTTTATACATGTAGAGCATGCACTGACAAAGGGAAATGCAGCTGAATATTATGCTCCAATTCTGCCTCTGGGGTAGGTTGAACTAGGCCCATTGAGGAACAGAATTACCCAGGACCCATGGTCCACCTACTGCTGTCTTCAACAGTGCAAGGTACCAGGGGTCTCAGTGTGGGGAATAAAGAACTCTGCAGGTGGGAGCTAGACAGTAACCTAGCATCAGGAAAGAACCAGGTGCTCTCAGACAAGGGTAAGGGCAGGGTGTGTCCCCTGTCCTGTTTATCTTTTATATGTGATATAGAGGAAATCAATCAAAGAATTAATCAACTAGCCAGGACTGAAAATGCAGGTTCTGTCCCCTGCTTGACCATAAGGATTGTGTGTGACCTCACATAAATCACTGATATTTGCAACACAGTAGATAGATGTGTCTAAATGTGTTAAAAAGGTAAATTGGGGTAAGCAGTACTTCCATACTTTACAGTATCACTGTGTGAATACATGTAGGTTGTATGATTGGGTGATTTAATGTTACAGTAATTGGACCCATAACAGTACAGTGGAACTTTGATAATGGTAAATCTGGATGTGCTTGCTATGCTTAGGTGGAGGGAACTACTGCAACAGAGCATGAAGGTCCTCTGAAACTGCTTACTCAAAGTAAGCATGCCGTGTAATTAACCTTAGAAACTCCTAAATTTGGTCTGACTTCCCTTTGCAGAAAGAACAGGTTTCCAGCTGAGACCAGCTGCAGGACTTCTGTCGGCTCGTGACTTCCTCGCCAGCCTGGCATTTCGTGTCTTTCAGAGCACACAGTACATAAGGCATTTCTCTTCTCCTATGCATTCCCCAGAACCGTAAGTTTAATGCCCTGGTACAATCTCATCCTTCTGAATGTGTTTGGGATGATTCTCTAGGGAAAGGCTCTGGAGCTCTATCCAGTAGTCCACAGAATGAAACAATTTGAGAAACTGGTAGCTGGAGAGTTAGAAGGGGAAGTCATGCATGAGAGGGTGTGGGTCTCTGTCTCTCTTGCAAAGTTGTCTGGGGAAGGAAAAGACTGGAGAATATCTGGTTTAATCTTTTCATCCAGCCTTCATTTACCATCTGCTGGGGTTTGATTCCCTGCTGTGAAACTCTCCCAGTAAGTGCTGGCCAGACAACAGCAATTACATTTCATGAGAAATTACAAGTTCGCACAGACACTTTTGTTGTATGCTGGGACAAAACAGGGGCCTTTCAAAGATGTTGTGACATAGGAGACTAGTGCCCGTGCCATCCCAAGTGAGACAATAGCCAGGGCAGCAGGGAGCAGCTGGTTCCCCATGGAAAGCAGAAGGGAATGTTCAGTCATGCTCCCTGCGGAGCCAGGCCAGGTATGGAGGCAATTACTGCGGTGCAGCCCTCACACTAGCTCCCATAGCAGGGTCTACCAGCTAAAGTCCTTCCTGGGAAGTTCATGTAGGGCAGGAAAAGAAACCTTTATTAAATATGAGAGTCACTTGTTTTCCAGAGACTGCTGCCATGAGTTGTTGGGTCATGTTCCCATGCTAGCTGACAAGGAGTTTGCCCAGTTCTCTCAGGTAAGAAGCTTGTTCTCCTGTCTGTTTACTCAGCTGCCCTGGATAGCAGGCCAGATGTGCCTCAAAGGCACACAGCTCACCATGCTTGAACTGCTATTTTAAGACTTGATTGTGCCCGAGTTGCAACCTCCAGGCTTGGTGGGTTAGCAGTGCCCTGGGAGACATTTCCTCCCAGGGAGTGGTAGCGCTGCTCCCTATGGACATGGTGTAAAAGGAAGGGCAGGCAGAGCTTGTGGGACTTCTCTGTGGGAGGGCTGTGTCAGCCTGCAGACGGATGCCAGTGGAGCCTCTGCGGCGCTGTGTGTTTGAGCTGTGCCCCCGGCTTCCTGTCCTACACCACATGAACCTAACCAGCAGCAGCCATTGAGCCTCCAGGCTGGTTCTGTCTCTGGATGTACATTTTTATCTCACATGATACTTTAATTGCGTCCCATCACCATGTCATTCATTAGAGATGTTTTTCCTTTTACAACTCGCCAGATTCTCACAGCATTGCTCACACTGGTGAGGAGGTTCCAAAAAACAAACAGGGCTTCTTTGTACAATAAGGGGCTATTGAGGATGGGCAATCAGTGTCAGACCCAAGTGAACTCAATGAACTTGTATAATTAAAGACTTCAGAACTCTGAATATGCCTTAAAACCAGAGCAGATGGAAGAAGATAACACATATTCTAGGCTTATCAATCATTGGCCAGTGTGGAAACTGGCAATAAGTGCAGAGAAGTTACATGATGTAGGTCCCTGTCAGAATACCTTAAATAGAAAGCCAGTTCACCTCATATAATGTAGTTTCCAGTTGTATCGTCTTGGATACATGCCAGTTTCCATTTTGGTTATAAATATTGGTTACTATCAGATTCAGATGAGTAGTTCTTAAAATATCCCAGTGGTCTATAATTTATTCTGGAAGAATAAATACCAAAACTGAAGACACATTAGAAATAAGAGATTATAGGAATTTCAAAACTTTCAGCTTTCCTCTTTTCCTATCTATAACACAGACTATAATCATGGGATCACATTAAATGAATTTTCACATTTCACTTTGTTTTTTCACAAAGTGTTTTCACAGTTTAAATTCACCCCATGAAAACTCTTTTTTGTTCCATTCAACATGAGACGATGAATGGTGAAAATGCCCTAATTTTGTTTTGTTGCTGCATGATATGGCTCCCAAGATAGCTAAGAAGAGACATCTACAGATTCCTGTTGTGAGAATAACAACAGGGAGCACACATGAGAGTAAACAGAATCCTCCCTGCACAGATCTGACTGACTCACAAGGACTGTCAGAAAGACAGTGAGAGACAGAAAGATAACGGCAAAGATAAAACCCACCTTACTGTCCTTCCTTCTCATGCCTCCCTATAGATCTCTGCCAGGGACAGTCCTGCATTAAGCCAAGAGATGGTTAAGTTTACACAGAGAATGCTGAGTATTAAACGCTCATCTAATGTGGCTCCCAGTGGTATGTAGCTGGGGGCCAGGGAGAGGTAGGCATCCTGGAAGCCATGGAAGGTCATTTTGGGTGATAAAAACAATGAATAGTTCATGCTATTCATGCTAGAAATGATGTGGTCCTCCCCCTTCCCCTCTTTCTCTCCCTTGGGCTGAATAATCACACTAGTGTAACACTGCCTGCCTGATTACTTGCTTTAGGATATTGGACTGGCTTCTCTTGGATCATCTGAAGCGGAGATTGAGAAACTGGCCACAGTAAGTACAGATGGCAGTTTAATATCAGAGGCAAAACCCAAACAATTCACTGCATATCCCTCACTGTGCAGGGAAGGCTCTTCTCTAGTGTCTCAGATTAGCCACAAAAATGGGAACATCAGCAGGGTTCTCTCTTCTCCTCATCCACAGGTTAGGGAGGGGCTGGAGTTCCTCTGAGGGAGACCAGAAGCACCTGAGGAAATCTTTACACTTTTTGATTCTATTAGAATAAGCTGAATTTCTACAATTTCAGCCACAGGAGCGTCCCAACCCACTTTCCAGATTCACCTAATAGGCTGGATACCCCATGTGATTCCCGCATTTTTTCCTACAAAAGATGCAGGGGACCATCAGAACTCAGTGTACCCTGTATTTATTAATCTCACAAAATAGGTGAGCTCTTAAAAGCAATTTGATAGCAGGTAATATCATTTGGTTCTGAGTCACTATGCAATACATATCTGCCAAAAGAACTCATGCAGCCCTTTGCTGCCATCTTAACTTGTTCTGAAAGTGGACTTGGGGCCAGATGATTGCTTTTTTTTTTTCTGATAATGCTAAACATATCCCAGACTTGGCGATTTTTTCAGGGAAGGAGAGGAGCCCTACCCTCACCCAACTGCTTGAGGCTCATTCGGGAAAGGGAGGTGATGGCAGGAGACTGTCACTCCTGAAATTCCTCACCCAGCCCATAGCCTCACTCACAGGGAAGTGAAATGAAGTGCTGTGTGAAGGAGATTATGGCTCACCTAAAATCTATATGCAGGTATCCATTCTTGTGTCAGAACTAGGTAAGGTTAGTGGTGGTTTTAGAGTTGGGAGTGCAAAAGGTCCCAGTGCTGGATTTTCTGTAGCATCATCCAGGTCCTATGAGGGGACTATGTGGGAAGAGGCCGCATTTCCTCTGCAATTATCCCTCTCAGGGTCCCGGGAGACTAGACTAAGATTAAGATCCATGCTTTTGTTAGAGGTGAAAGAATTATGGGTCCTGGAGAGCAATGTTGCGTCCTTATCCAGGTCTTGATGAGATTGGGTGAAGGCCATTGGCTTATGTAGCATTCCACTGCACACACCCCTCTGACCCTGAGCTGGGTAGGACTCGATTAGAGATAGGGTCAAGGTTAGAAGAATGATGGGTCTCAGATCTGAAATTGTCATAGTATCATTTAGGGTTTGGGAAGGTAGAATAAGGGAACCTTTTTGAAAGAGCTACCTGCAGTTTAGGATCTGTGAGAATACAATTTTGTAAGTGCCATTCAGGTATTCTGAACAGCAAACATATTTTGGATTAACTCCTCAGTCTTCAGCTGTTTAAAAGTTAGACATCTAATCTAGTCTTACTGTTTAGGTTCCCTCACTAGAAAGTGGAGATAGAGAAGAACCTGTAATGTATTCTTTATCCTGACATGGATGTCTAACAAATTCTTTTTTGTCTTTGGAAGTTTCTGTCATTCTCTGCTCATTATAAAGAGAATGTAGGTAATTAGCTTAGATGGTATGACAACATTTAAGCTAACTAAAAGTTTATTTAGAGAATCTCAGATTTGCTTGTTGCTATGGTCTGTAACATTTGTAAGAAAGACTTTGAAATGCTATTATTTCATTGAGTCTTTGGACTTCTCTAAGCATGTGGATCCATGTACAAGAGATGAGAAATTGCCCATGTTCATGTTGTTCTCAGAGTGCCACTAGTACCGTGACCTCTACCTTGCTAAGACAGTAAGAGCCGAAAGAACCTCACTAACTAAAAGCCTCAGGATATCTAAGGAAATACTAAAAATAATTCTTCCTTTTCATGTCTCATTTTCCAGTCAAAAAGATCTTCTGCAAAACTGCAAAATAATAAGAATCAAGATTATTAACACAATAAGAATTCATAATTATTAGCTGAATTGTAGAGAAAGCAGGTCAGGATTCTACAGAAAGAAAGATTCTGACTTTCTTCATTAGTGGTAAATTTGCAGGCTAAAACCAAGTCATCAAAATTATAAGATGTGTGAAGAGGGTGGGAGAAAGAAAAAGAAAGTAAGAGGCAGAATAGAGAGAATAACAGAGTTTCACATTATTTTACGAACTGCCTTAAGTTCTTTGAGAAGGGTACTGAGAATGCAATACCTATGGCTAAACTGAAGTCAAGGTGTGTGAGGCAGCAGAGTCCCTAAAAGGAGCCTTGAAGAGTTGTGACACAAAGCTTTATTCTTTAAATGCTTCATTTTCCATGTTTTTCTTTTGCACAACACCTATCCAGCAGCTCAGCGGTCAGGCTGTGTTCAGAATTGGTCCTCCACTGTCCGTTTCCTTAAATGCTACAAGGGAAGGGCTAACAGGCTGGCAGAGCCAAGAGTTGCTTTTATCCTACCATTTTCCAGCAGGTAAAGGAAGTATGGTCCTAAGCATGCTTTATTGCAAGAAAAGCCTAGAGAGATGTATCATTATTTTTTGCTGGAACATTGCCACTAAGGGATAAGTAATTCTTCAATTCTTCTGAATGTTATCACACAGACAAATGAGGACGGAATCTGTCCTTCAAGTCTTGAACTCTCTATGGGGGTCCACCTCTCCTTCTGGGGTCTATAGTTGAAATCTGTCAGGTTTCACTGACTGTAATGAAGCTAATAACTTGCAGGGTAATTTGTAACATCTTCCAAAGAGAGAAGGGGACAGTACTTTATTTATTCATAATTATGATTAGCATTTTTTTTTAGGATGGCAAGTTTTGAAAAAATACATGTCACAATTTGCCTGTGTTATATATGTTGAGAGAAAAAATAATTTTCTTAAAATACACAACTATAAAATTTGAAGATACAATGACATTAAAGAATAAGGATAAAAGAAAATGAAAGGAAAAATTAGAAGCTTAAAAATGAACTGTTGAAACTGTTTTTCACAATTTTTTCTTCTTACCAGCTTTATTGGTTCACTGTGGAGTTTGGACTCTGCAAGCAAAATGGTTCCATCAAAGCTTATGGGGCAGGACTGCTTTCATCTTATGGGGAGCTTATGGTATGTGTCAACTGTATGGTATCGAAAGATTTCTATAGTGCAACTTTCTAAACTCTTGGGTTAAAGCAAAATATTATTTCGCCACATAAAACAATATAATTAAAAAAAAATACTGATTTTTCTTTTGCAAAGAAATTAATTCAGAAGCTACTGAGTAGGGGGAAACTACTGTAGGATTGTACCTGTCTTCCACCTAAAGAGACAAAATGCAACAAAAGCAACCTGTAAAGTATTAGATTGGCTTCTTACTGCTCCTGTCCACTAGTAACACAGCTGACTTTAATATGAAACTCATGTACCTTTCTGAATTACTCACTAGAGGGCAATATTATGCCTATGATGAACTCTGCTACTTCGTCATGCGCATATGATTTAGAAAGGCTCTGGCTGACTGGACCATATAAAGTGTGGAGAAACTGTAAATAGCATGAACCCTGATAAAAAGAAAACACTTTAGAATTTTATTTCCTAAATATGTTTCAAACCTCACCCAAATTCGAGTTTTACGTAGATAAAAATCTGTGTATGTAGGATTAATAATGTCTTGCCTGGACAGATTAACTGTGAAAAGGGAGACTGTGTACATTTACAGAAAGCTTACAAGTTTTCCCTCCTTTGGGCAAACAGTTGGTAGAGGAGATATTAATTTCTTTTCAGTTTTGCAGAGCACTGAAGCAGATGATCAGTTTCTAAGTGCAAAAGAGCTAAATTAGTATCAGCATGTCTCAATTGCTTCAGGTTGTGCAGATACTGGATGAGCTTTTGGGATTAATAAGAGCCAAAGGAAAATTAAAAAGCACTCTTTTCAAGTATTTTTATAAACAGAAACCAAAGTTTTCATGAGACATACATTTTAAGCTTAACATATAGACACAACAGCCTAACAGCGGGCTACGTGATACATTCACATGGAACCTTATCTGGATTAGCACAGTTTAGATTCCCATAATTGGAGATAGTTGGATTGTTATGACAGTAAACCTCTTGCAAACTCTGCTAATGCTATATAGGTCAGCCCCCTTCACAGTCAAGTGACAGACAGAAGAAACAACATGCAACCAAAGACACTTTTAATAGGAGTCCCAACAGAGGGGTAGTTGAGATAGAGAAAGAGGAACTCTTCCAGGCATCAACCTTCATTTTGCCACATGCCGCGTTTAGCGTTGGCTTTCTCCCAACACTTGCAATTTGAAGAGTTCCGTGAGCGAACTCTGTAGTATATGATTTGCAGAGCTTTCTCACTTGATAAACTGAGAGATCTGCATGCTCATTAGCCCTCTAGACAAACTGACATGCCTTCCTTTCTGCACAGCAAACTTATCTTGCACCTGACTGCTCATGAGTGTGAGCAGAAGTGTGCTAGCACTATCGTGGCACTCATCTGTAGAACAGTTAAAAGTATTGTTTTGAAACAGCAGATCAGTGACCTCCCCTGCAAATCAGGTTCCAGTGCAATGCATTTGTTTTACGTGTCTATCATTTCTAGGATAAGCCTGAAGCTACTGTTTTTCTGAGAATCCTTCAGTACTTGCTATATTCACAGCCAACATAGAGGAAACCTAGGCTTGCTTTGGTTAACCTGATAAAACCAAAAGGATCCAATATCAAAGGACAGTTAAAGGCCCGAATACTTTATAGTTTTAAGTCAACTGCATTTACATGTTAAACAGGGTAATAAAGGGCAGAGGTAATAATTTCTCTGATACTTATGTAGCTTTCACAGTAATACGCACCACAGAATCTATCTGCATGGTTACCTCTTTTTCTGTCTAATTTTGACATTGATGAAGGTAAAAAGTTGCATTAGAAATGCTAAATTTTGGTGGCTGGAATTGAGTGTACCAGACTTGTGCGCTCTCTCCTCTCTTTCTACTTTTTTCTTCACCAGAAACCAACAAGGTCTTCTACTTTTGATTAAAGTAGTAGGCAAGAACTGCTTGTTCACAAAACTGTGCTATATAACAGAAAAATATCACTTGACCTCAAATTTCCTATGTCTAAGGTTGACAATGGAAGCGGTAAGAGTCCTTGAGTTGATAAATGGCAGATTTTTGCCAATAATCTTATCATCAGTACTTGTTGGGCAATGCTTCTGGATAAACTTTTGATATAGCTGGGTCCACCTAGGTCTTCATCTATCATATTACTGAAATTACATGCAGATGTGATAGCATTTCCATTCACTAGGTAACAAAAAAGGATTCTTCCCCTTCCAAAAGTGTGTTCATCTTGCATGTTACACCTCAGACAGTCTGAAGATGATCAAGCACTTCACTAGCAATGCTGCCCTGTACAATCCCTGTGTGAGCTCTGCAAGTTCATCACTGTAGCTTTTGGGACAGTAGCTTAATGGGTTATGTGCACTTCACCTGAAACTTCTTGTACACAAATTAATTATACCCATGTCCTTAAGTGCTGAAGTTTCCTTTTACAGAAGACTGATTAATCTGGATTTTTATTTGGAACAAAACCAAAATAAATGTTTCCATTTAATCATTCTAGTCTGCATAAGCATCTGATTCTAACTTCAGTACAGACAGTGGCAGTGTGAGTAAAGTACTGAGGTCCTATGCCTAAGCACCTGCTAGCAACTTGAAAATATACACCATTTCTTTTACAGCTGAAGAGAGAAAATGTCTAGTTTCTATTTCATAGAAGGGATTTATTTTAGAAATACAGCAGTGGCAAGTCAGTTTTGTTAGAGAAGATGAAGATTGGAAGCTAGTGAGGCTCATGACAGCCTTTAGTTTTTCGCAGTCTTAGACCAGCTCTTGAGAGAGCTCTAGATAAGTTCTGCTTATACTTGAGAGAAAGCCATTGTCCATACTGATAATTTTCTGCCAGTCTTCTCAGTATCAGCCCAGAAACGAGCTTGAGGATGGAGGCTCTAAACTCAATTCCATATCATTTAGCTGATCAGTATATTTGGCACAGGCAGACTCACCGTAGCTCATGTGACTGAGACACATGGCATCAAAGGAGAAATTTCCTTACCACTGAAGGCTTCCGAGCCAGGAACTTGGTCTCTGAGGAGGCAATAAAGGCATGAGTTTCTAAGGCTAGGTGGTTGGCTGCAGAAGATGACACCTAACCAGCTGGAGAGGATGAGCATCAGTACACCCAGCTAATGTTATGTGAGAACTTAGCATCAGTAAGGAGCCTAGGAACAACCCTGAACTGGACTGACGGTTTGTGGGTGAGTGTCTGTAACCCAGGGAAGCACATCCTGACTATGAAATTATGGAATCATAGAATGGTTAGAGTTGGAAGAAACCTTAAAGATCATCAAGTTCCAACCCTTCTGCCATGGGCAGGGACATCTCCCACTAGAGCAGGTTGCTCAAAAGTCCCATCCAGGCTGGTCTTGAACACTTCCAGGGAAGGGGCATCCACAGCTTCTCTGGGCAACCTGTTACAGTGCCTCACCACCCTCACAGTAAAGAATTTCATCCTAATACCTAATCTAAATCTTCAAGATAGTTTCCTCTTCTCCACAACACCCACTCTGACCAGTTTGAACTCAGCTGTAGTTAATTTCTGTGGATAAGCTGATCCTGCCCAAACTCAGGGCATAACCTGGAAGAAAGGCAGAGGGTGGAAGGTAAGAGCTGGATGCCCTCTGCATGAGACTTGCACTTGAATCCATGTTATCTAACAAATCATTTAATGACAGCAGCTAGGTATCGGAAGGCAAAGGCTAACCATACCCAAGTCAAAACTAAACAGTCGTAATGGCTCTGACTGCTGGCCAACCTTGCCTCCTCTGAACTGTAAGTATTCCTCCCCAACAGCCCTCGGTATTGCACTGTTTATTTCACTACATTCTGTCAGCTGTTCTACATTATCCAAAATGCTTCTCCTGTTAACACTCAGCTGGACTCTGTCCTACATACTGTAAAATCTTATGGCTCATACCACACTTCTGGCAGCACTCAGTGCTACACATGCCTTTCTTGCAGCACAACAAGTACTTAACTTGTAGAGGCCTTTAAGGCCATCCGGTTTCAAGCTGAACTTCCACTGAAATCAATGGGATTTCAGTTCTGCTTCAACACTGACAACATAGCAGGAACCCTGTCAGATTTTGAGTTTCTAAAATCTTTTCCCATTGGTCCCCAGAGGTTTTGAGATTATAAGAGCAGCCTTATGTTTGTGTATACCATCCATCTTAGACTGTGTGAGTGCTCTCCAAGGTTTATTCTTCATTTAGACACTGTAGATGAAGAACAGGGAAAACACCATCTTTTAGCATTTTATAGTCCTCTTCCTTTTTTTTTTTTTTTAAAAAAAAAAGCTCTTTATTAATTTCTACACCAGTTCTGCAGCAAATTGGCCTACTGGTTAAGGCAGGCCTCCTGCGATGGAGAGTTCAGGCTCAGTTCAGTGAAATATCTAAAAATGTGCTTAAGGGTACTTGTCTGAATTTTTCCAGTTAGCAGATTGAGCTGAAAGTCTTGTGCAGTGTCACCCACCCTTACCAGTTCTTTACAAGTACCAGGGGAGTTGGCATTTGGATCATAAAATAGTGAAGGGAGCCTTCTGAAAACTGGTGAAGAAGAGAGAAAGCCAAGCATGCAGACTTCAAACATGGGGTTGTTGCTGAAAGACTGTCCCTAGGTGGATGGGGGCCACTGTCCAGGCTGAAGGCAGAAAGAAAGATCTCTTGATATTGACTGGGATGAGTTGCCTTTTTCTTTTTCGCTTGTACCCGGGACACTTCACCGAAGTGGCCATGGCTCTCACTATCCTGGCTGATTGGAGGCCAAACCAGCTTTTAGGCACATCTGTGGTGCAGTTCAAATGGCACTGGGGCCGAACTAGCTTAAAAATAAATCACTTGGGTCTCAGGGGTGGACAAACTACATAGGAACTCATGTTGAACCTGAGCTGCCCTGTCTTCCCAGGACCCTGCACCGGTACTAAACAACCAACACCAATACCTACACAACCACACTGGTTTCAAGGTAGCTCCAGTATGTCTAAGCAAATGCTAGATGTACCTGTGGACTGCAGCATGGACATAAAGGGCTGCTTTAATCCTATCATCTGCCTGAGGGGAAAATGCAGAAGAACTTCAGAAGAATGTAGAGAAGACCCTGTGTGGGCCCAAAACACAAACATGTGCACACAGGGTATAGTTAGGCTGCTTAACTGGCATGGGAGCTGTGCAGAAAATACCAGGAGCCGCAGGAAAACTGAGATTTGTGACATGGGCTGCAGACTTGGAAATAGTGTTACACACCACTGTGAATCTTCTATGACACTGGTTGAAAAAAAAATCATGATATTATTTTTTCTTTTATATATTCAGGTTTTGGGGGATGGCATAGACTTCCCCCTCCCTGTCTGAGAATGTGGCTGTGGTAACCAATCATACATCACCGTAATACTGGAAATATGTATTTCTTTTTTTTTCCCTTTCTTCTTTTTAAAATTTTTATTTGCTTTATTAACTGCTGATTATGGAAAGCAGCTTTTAGCTGTGAAAGACCAGGAATTGATATTACCTTTAACAATTCCACAGAGCATTTCACAGCCCAGTAGGCACTAAATCTTGCTATGTTCATTCACCTGTTCTAACCTGTGTTGTTCCCGTTACAAAGTACGCTTTATCAAACAAGCCAGAGTACAAGCCTTTTGATCCAGAAGTGACTGCAGTTCACCCCTATCAGGATCAAGCCTTCCAGCCTGTCTATTTCGTAGCAGAAAATTTGGAAGATGCCAAGGCCAAGCTTCAGTAAGTAAAGTGTGGGTAATTTCATTGGGGGGGGAACACCATCTTGAATCCTAATCTCAAATATGTCTTCTACTACCGCAATAACTATGCCAAGCCATCTCACTCACTACACAGGTCATCTGCACAGTGGCTTTTTTTACAACAAAGTTAAACAGGAGATTGTTTATCTGACAAAAGCTTCATAGAAAAACATAGCTATATACTGTTATGTCTTGTCCCATACTTCATCTTAGCAATGCCTCATTTTGGCAACTTCTGAGATAAATTCTGTAGCTGAATAGTGAGTGTAGAGCACAATCCCACAACTAGGGTGCATCTGTACTACTCCATACAAATAGGTGGTTATGAAGAACTGATTTACCCAAGGTCACACGGAAATTTTATAGCAGGCTCAGGAATTAACATGGATCAGCAGGGGGCTTAAAAACAAGATTGCCTTTCTCCTCTGATTATATCTGCACAAGAATGCAGAATCAGCATTCACAGGCAATCTAATTTCTACAAAGTAGCTGACTGAAACCTAAATAACATTATTTCAAATTAGCTTGAGGTGTTTCTAAATGCATTTATTTTACTGTGCTACATTATGCAGTAAGGATTTTTAAAAATTATTTTATTTTAAGGTAAGGGGGGCTTAAATCTGGCCTTAATTTCCAACAGTTAGAAAAACATGACCAATTCTGGCTGGAGGCAGGAGGCTGGTTGTGAAGCTACTGGGGAGCATGTAGGAGCTGAAATGAGGAATTTATTAGAGGAAAAGAACCTGGGTCAGACTTACTCCCCCCACCTCTTCCCCAGAAGCACTGTCTGCTGGGGCTATAGTAATGGCAAATTAGGCCCCTCATCTTAAACCTGAAGGTTCACGTTAAATTATTAGTGTGTGTAAAAATGTGGCTGAGAACTCACTGGCAGAAGAAAGAGGACTTTCAAGAGCATTTGACTCAGGCAAACCTGAAAAGAACTTACAAGGACAAGGAATACACCACTCAGACTTGAAGCTTTTTCATGCATTTTTTTCAAGATAGTTGCTCAGCCAAAGCTGCTCAAAATAACCTAAGGCACAAGAATCTGTCAGAACAGAAAACATAAGGCAACATCAGTACAGGGGGTTCCTACCAGCATGTACTTAATGGAAACATTGTCGAAATGGCAAGCAATCATGTTTTTTCTTTCAATAGAGACGGTAAAATAGCTCAGGAAGCCTAGTATCAACAGGTTTTTAGAATTTTATGCAGAAAGAGCTACTCCAGGTTATTTCTTGGAAGTGAAGGCAGCAGACATGCTGTGTTGCTGCATTCCTCAGCTTGTGGTTGTAATAACTCTGAATCGCTTTAATGTAGAGCTGTAAGAGCACAGGCAGGTCTGTGCCAGCCACACCGAAAAGCAGGCACTGCAGACCTTTGGGGCTGTAAGCAGTTCCACCATGGGGAGGATATACAGCACCAAACAACATTAAGGAGTAACAGTGATTGGGGTGTCACAGCAGCCTCTGCTCCCCAATAAGTCTGTGCCTACATATTGAGAAATTAGGTCGTGCAGGTTTTACACTTAGGAAAACAGCTTGAACTAGTAGCTCTGTCTTCTTCTTCCCCCCCAGAAACTACATGATGAAGATCAAGAAGCCTTTTTCTCTGCACTACGACCCTTTCACCTGCAGCATAGAGGTTATGAACACACCTCAGAAAGTCAAGAGGGCACTCTGTCAAATGAAAGAGGAACTGAAAAATCTCTGCTTGGCCCTCGAGAACCTCTCTTAAAACTACAGCAGTACATCTTACCTGGCACTGAGATACTTGTAGAGGGTTCCAGCACTTGAAGATTTAGTGATGAAGTTGTAGTTGTATGCGAAAATCCTTAACCCACAAACCAGCTCTGTCAAGCTAATCTTTTCACTGTAATTTATGCTGCTGAGTTATTTACATTAATGAGTTCCTGTTGTGTATGTTTCAATGACAAACAAGATCAAATTACTCCAACTATTGGCAGGTGATATGAGCTACAGCTGTTTTGAATGTATTTATCTGTTCCTATTGACCCTTACTTACTTTTTTTTTAATTCACCTGCCACCTTTCCAAATTACTTGTCGCAAAATAGCACAGTAACTCTTCAGCCATACAGTCTTTTACTTTCTGCTTAAATGACATGATAACAATCTTTTAGGTTGGCTAGCTGCTTACAGTTAGTGGTCCTTGCAGCTAGCTCATTTCTGCTAGCAATTATGATGAGCTATTGTGCTCACAGACTATGAATGGTTTCCTTACAATGTGTGAATGCAAGAGTTTGTAAGAGGAACCCTTTACTTTTGCTCACTATTTATTTTTTAGATATTCACTAGCTTTCAAATATGGCTAAATAATTTCCTGTCATATTTGAGATCACAAAATATTTGTCCCTTGGCTAAAGAAAGCAGAAAATAATAGGCCTATGATACTCTGGCACTGTCACATAAAAGGGTGCTTAGTTTGAAAGGGAAATTTGGATTCTGGGAAGGAAATTTGTGTGTAAGGAAGTTCTTTTTGAAGAAGCATATAAGAAATAGAGTCCATTGTTTTTTCATGGGACTCAGTTAATCCCGGACACTTTTAAAAATCTTCATTTCTTATTGATGTCATGATGATTATAGTAATAACTAAAAGGCCAAATCTACTGAGCATCTAGTGTAAAAGCTAAGACCAACCACTAGCAGCCATATAGCCTTGCTATGGAAACATACCGTATACGTGCCCCGACTCATCTTACCTCCTTCTCCAGTCCCTCTCTGAGATGTGTCTGAAAGTTATCTACACTCTGCAGGTCATGTTTCCCAGAATCAATCCCATAATTGCCTTTTCCAGCCTTTCATGCTCTTTATGTCCCCTTCCTTTCTCCACTATCCACAAGCAGAGACTATTTCAGCAAAAGCAGAGGCTCATGCTGAGAACGATTCCCTGCCCTCTTAGCAGCAGTGCAAGCAGGTGGGCTTGATGCAGGTTACAGGTGTGGCATAAACAAGGGCAATGTGGATCTCGTGGCTCAAGCTGGGCGACAGTGATCCACAAATTTCAATGCAGATTTATCCTGCACAGCTTAGAATCTCTACTTATTTTTTCATCAGTATATTTAGCATGTGGCAGGCAGCAAGCTTGTCCACTGCTATTCACTAGCTGCCAGCGTACATGGTCTGAACTCTGAGTTAAATGTGAGGTGGTTTGGCTCTTGATGGAAAAGGAGTCATCATCTCTGCCTTAACTGGTCACTGTGGGATAGGAGCATGTACACAGAAAGTCACAACAGAGCAATTCACATGCTGTCACTTCATACAGAGCTTATCTCACTGTAATTTGTTCATCTGCCAGGCTCTAAAGAAACTGTCTTATTGAAAGTTAATGGGATTTTGTCTCTTAAATCTTCATGTCTATAAGCACTTCGGAAAATTTTCCCATGGACAGTACTAGAGTATTCTGAGGGACGTAGTAGTAGAGATCTGGGGATCTGCTGCAACTGCTCCATGTTATTAAAATGTGGTGATGCCTGAAAAATTCGGAAATATCTTGGCAAAAATGGCTGAGACCCCTTCCTCTCAACAGCGGGGACATCCCAAGTTCTTTCTTTTTTTTTTTTTTTCATTTAAGTCCAAGACTCTTGTATTCTACTCCGGGAGTACACACATCTCATAAACCCTGTTTTGCTAGAGATTCAGACAGCAACAGAGCCGAAGCGAGTTCCTTTGCTTCCAGTATATTTCTGCTGCAATGGAGGATGATCTCTCAGCATACTTTTATGGATTTAATTCTACTTATCCTGCTCATACACACACACACACACAAAAATACCATTTCTTTTCAGAGCAATTTGTTTCGTTACATATTGTAATAATTTATCTGTCTGCTTCCTGCCAATTGGTGCATAGGCAAAAATGCTCGATAGCTCACAACAGATTGTTTTCAGAAGTATTATTTTCATCAATCAGTTGTTTTACAGTGAAAATTGAACCATGTGCTCCAGTTCTGTGTGTTTTCTTTTTCTTTCTTTTTAAGTGGAAGATAATGCCAGAGCGGAAGAGCTATCAAAATATTTTCTATAGATGGACTCTGTAAGCCATAGGGTCTTTTTCATGTATTCCCTCTGAAACAGTTGAATGTGGAGTTTAGACTTGAGTTTGGCTATTGCTCAGAACAGACCTATATTTGGAAGAAATGAGAGACCTGATGGATTTGTTTTGCCCAAGGCCTCACACTTTCCTTGGAGGGACTCCAGGCCCGCCCACACACCCTTGTCTTTTCCAGTTCCTGTAGCAAGGAGAGAAAAAGAAACCATTTGGAGCCAGATTCTCCCACCCTTACACACGCTGAGTAGTACCTGATCTCTCCAGCAATCCCAGCGACAGAACTGAGCCTATTTAAGGTGCTGTACGCTGAACCCAGAGAATAAGAGCAGGATTATAAAAACCTCTGCTTGTGTGCTTGATTTTTTATCGTCTTAATGACAGTCAGCCGGCATACACAGCTAAGGTAGGCTCCAGGGAAGCTTAGTAAAGCTTCAGAAGTAATGAATTTGGCTACTCAAACTTTTAAGAAGCAAAAATATTCTTCCAAAGGAGGCAAAATCTTTCCCTCCTTACTCAGGCAAAACCTACCCCAGGATAGCCATGTTTGACACTCCCCTCTAAGGAGGTCCAAATTCTTCTCTTCTGATTCAGTGTAGCGACAAAGCAAAAGCCTTCAGGGTTACGTCCTTATGAGGTACACTGGTCATGCTGCTCTTCCAATAGCTATTCTTTCATTTCCTCACAGAAGCCAAGAAGTACCTCATACTCCTGTCAGTCTGAGGCAGGGGTGATGGGGAAGGCAGTGGTGGGGCCTCACGATGAAAATCATGGCACAGAGGAAAAAGCACCAACCAGTAAAAATATGTCTTTTTGTCAGTTTGCATTTCAGCAGTTTCACATTAATCTTGCACAAGAAGGCTCCAAAGCCAAGTAAAACACATCTTGTGACTTGAAACTGAACTGATGAACTCCCCATGGGTCCTTTGCTTATCCCGATAAACTTATTTTTCCTAGATGGAGTGCATTTAGAACAAAATAGTGTATGTTATTAAATCTGTATTGTGGTGTTCTGTTATACATGGGAGAGTTAGTAAATTCAGTTCATGGATTTGGGTTTGTTTTGTTTTTTGGCTAACCAAGTCTGTCCTCTACCAATTTTGGTCCACCCTCAAGCCTCCAGCTGCTTCAGTGCTTCCCTGCAGATTTACTAGGGATGCCAAGGGTACCACTGTGTAAGGAGAATACACAGTTATGCAATTTGGGGAATTTGGCAGGACAGGAAGAGGAAATTTAGGCAAGCCTCCCACCCACTCCCATGAGAAATAGTATTGTATTACAAGGCAGAGCTGTCATCCTCAGAAAGACCTTCTCAATCACTTCCCTCTGGTAACCTTAACATTTTGACCTTTATACTACCTGGTGAATGTAAACCTTACTTAACCAATTAAAGAAATAACAGGGGAAAAAAAAAATAAAGACAGGAAAAAAAAAAGAAAAAAAGACCCTCCAAGAAAGAAAACTTCATTACACTCAATTTTCCTTGTCTCTACTCACCCATAGAGGAAGAAGCAAACAAACAAACAAACAAAAAACTTCCATGGAAATGATAGTGTATTCCTGAAGAAACCTAAAGCATGAAATTGCTTCACGTACAACGCACATGAAGATCACCTTACAGCTGTGACTGAAATGCTGTAACTTACCCAGTAAATCATGACCATCAATTAACCACACACAGAAGTGTTACATGACTGCTTGAGGCAGGAAATGAAGCTACCAGATAAAACCCTTGGGTAGCTTTGCCTTATGCACCTACTGCAAAACCAGAAGGTTCTCTGGAGCCTGCTTCTGTAGATATCCTACAGCATGGAGAAATTCCAGCTGGCAAAGAAACAGAGGGGTATATACATACATCCCCAGTAATCTCACCCACCACTAATCAGGAGTTTATACGTGGGCTTTGAGATTTAGTTAGAGGACATTACTTTGCAGCTTTCTCCAGCTGGCACACGGTCAAAGGTTGGAAGAAAGGGTTACTGGCTGTATCATATTAAATATACATTAAATTTGGGTAACCGTGGTGGCTGAGACCCAAAGTCAAAGCAAATCTCTAGCAGTCTCTCCCACCGCACTAATTCCTCAGGGGAAAGAAAGTCAGACTAGAACAGGAGTCTGGCTGAGAGCTGGCAGAGCAAAGGGACGAGCAATGGAAAGGACCGGTAGACAGGCATAAACCATGTTTGTTTTGCATATGCTGCTTCATTATATTTGAGAAACATTTTTGTTTGAAAGAGGAGCTTTATACCACGAAGGAAGAAAGTTCAGACCTGTAAGAGCATAGAGGAGTCAAGGTCAGTTAAGACCTTTTAACTGTGCCTGAGGAGTATTAGCCTTATCTAAGACATTTACTTTCAGCATGGGGTTAGAAAGCAGAAAAGGGGTCTTTAGGAAAACGTTTTTTACATGGTGTGTGGGAAAGCTGAAGCTGACCAAGCCTTGCTGCCTCGCAAGACACAAGAATCCTAAATTTTGAGTGGAAGCTAGAGGAGAAACTGAGCAGCTGGCCAAACACTGCTTCCCCAGCAAAAGACCGTAAAATTGTTACTGCTACAGCTGTATGCTAGGTGTTTTCAACCTGCTTAACTTCTTTGCCATGAGTTTTCTTTTGTCCCTTTACTTTAAATGTTATTTATTGATCCCTTTGATTTGTGTTTGTGAATGGGGAAAATGAGATCACTGAACATGAGAAAGTTTAATATTATTTTCCCAGGGTTTTGGGTGAAACTTACGCAACAAACAGACCCTCATAAACTTAAACCCAAACAGCCAAAAGCTGTTAAGACCTGGAAAAATGGTTACGTTTAGGTAAAAGAGCAAAACAAAGCTCTGTTCCCATCCACAACCAGTACTGTTAGTCTTCAAGGTATGTCTTTCACAAAATTACTCATGATGGATTTAACCATAAATTTTTAAATATAAAACACAGAACATAATACCTGCCAGGTAAAGTAACTAGAAAAATCCTCCAGTTTGGAAGTCCTGTATCTGAATTGGCTGCTTTGTAACAATTTTGGATACC